ACACACACACACACACACACACACACACACACACACACACACACACAAAGAGAGTTGCAGAGTTGACCAGTGTGAGCTTCAGTATAGGTCCATCAAAATTAAAAACTTTCTCTAGCACACCATGCTTTATTCACAGTTTTTGACACAAATTCTCAAGGCGAGATGCGGGAGGCAAGGGACGAAAGGTCAAAGGACCCATATTAACGGCCCTCTGTTTAGCATTGTAAATATATCCACAATAGATTAATTCCTGCCAGTGCACTTGTTGGATACAAAGTTGACACTCTGACCTTGGGGTTGGCAAAAGTTAAATATCCGTAACCAAATATCCTGTCAATCTGGCCTGTAGATGTAGACACATTCTGGTCTAGAATAAAGTGTCGGACAGAACGATCGACCACATGAAAAAGGAACATATAATAAACTAAATACACGTCAGTCTGGGTCTAGACAAGATTCCATTAAATCATTACCCATCCTCACCTTGTCTTTATGGTACATTATGTCTCTTTTCCTATTATAGAGGCAGAATGTGCTGTGTTGATGGGGTATTAAGGGATCTCTGTCCCAGTGTCTGCTGACCTGAAAAAGCTTCATACAAATTAATTGTTCTCTCGTTTTCAATCTCGTTGACCTTTCCTTTCTCTCGCTCTCAGTCTCTGACAGGATCTAGAATATTTATCTCTACTTATCATTTCAGTCAGCAACAAAACTGGAATCTCAAGTCTGTCTGGTGGAACCTCAGACATGCCCTTGTTTCTGTCACATACAGGACAGACACACCCTGACAGGTTCTAAGGAAGGGAAAGGTTTGACACTCTGAGAGTACTTTGTCTCTAGCACAGAATTAACTGTTACTTTGACTGAAATAATATCCCAGCATTCAAGAATCAACCTGTTTACATTTATCTTTTTCAACTTTAACATCAATAAGAAATGGTTTATATATGGCAGAAAACTTTCAGCACATCGGGTGTGAAATTCAACCAGGCAGTGACCACTATTTTGGTGACTGCCAGTCTGTGTTTCCAGAAACAGTCAGCTCTGCTAGGTGTCAGGTTAGCATGAGAAACCCAAAATAGCTGCTGCACAGAGCTCTGCTAACCTGGAAAACAGTCTGGGGAGGGTCCCTGTTGATTTGGATAGCTTCCAGTGATGAAGTATTGCATATGTCTAGAAAGTTACAGTACTTTTTACAGTACAGTTATACCATAAAGCAGTTCATCTCATTGATTTGCAACTTTGATAGCAATGGTTTAAGTAGTTACCATTGTGTTAAAGGTATGGTAAAAATCTCTGATGGTTGAGAACTTTATTCTTTTTCAGTGCATATATAAATATTTAAATCATCACATTGCACAAACATGCTCTATTAGTTCAAAGTAAGTCTGTTGTGCTGAACATATCCAAGTTCAAGAAAAATGAAACGACTTCTTTTCTTCTCTCAAGTACAGATTTAATTATGATACTTACAAAGCTTTTAGATATTATCTGACTTATTTTACATAAAGACAACATTAACTAAGCACAATACAGCACATAAATTGTTGTCTATTGCAAGTCTTTTCATGCTTGTCCACATGTCACCTTCATGCTCACAAAATCGGACTTGTATAGCCAGACGGTCATGTAGTATGGCTCTGGGCAAATATTGTAGGGAGAGGCTAATGCAAATACAGAGATGCATGTAAAGTGTAATAAAGTCCTGGCTAAGATGGCCTGGCTAAGATTTAATGGAGGTTTTTCAGAATTGTCGCTTATACTATACATTACTATACAATATATAATACTGCTGGGCAACTAAATCCTCCAGTTCCTTATTTGAATGTCTAATGTCTTCTGTAAAATAATAGCGAGTAAAAACAACACCACATGTAGTTAAAATATTGTGTGATTCTTTTGGTCATTCCATTAGTTGTGTATTTTTGTTTGAGTCATCTTCTTTCTCTGAACTCGACCTCCATTTCAGCTCATGAGCCTTGGTCACATGAGGTCTGGTGACAGCTGCAGCAAATCTGTTTTGCTTTCAACTTCAACCTTCTTTCCCCCAAATAACTCTTTGCTTCCACCTGGTGGCAGAGTTTCTAAATTATACCTTATTAATTACTTTATCTGTAGCACATGATAAAATAAATGTGTTAATATTTTCCCATGCTCTCTTAACTTAAAAAGAACAACACACAGTTGCTAAGAGAACATTGCCTCCTCTGTATTTCCCTTCTCTCCTTTATTTAACCTCTTCTTCCCCTCTTGCAGCGTGAATGCATCTCTGTCCATGTAGGCCAGGCCGGTGTCCAGATGGGGAACACCTGCTGGGAGCTCTACTGTCTGGAACATGGCATTCAGCCGGACGGCCAGATGCCCAGCAACAAGCCCGTGGGAGGCCACGACGACTCCTTCACCACCTTTTTCAGTGACACTGGGGCTGGGAAGTATGTCCCCAGAGCAATCTTTGTTGACCTGGAACCCACTGTCATTGGTCAGTAGTGGAGCTTGTTGTGTTTTTAGCTATCAGGAATGAGACATTTCAGAAGAAGATAGAGATTTTGTGTGAAAATTGAGGGAAGATATTCTAATCATCTATCTGTTTTTATGTTCTGCATGGTGTAATAGCTTACAGAGTGAGGTGTCTTAGTGAGCCTGGAAAATTATTCTAATATATTATTGATTTATCCACTAATAGCACTTCCTCTAACGAACAAATTAGTTTTCTTTACTAATGTCTTTTTAATTTTCCAGATGAGGTGCGCACAGGAACATACCGTCAACTCTTTCACCCTGAGCAGATGATCTCTGGAAAGGAAGATGCAGCCAACAATTACGCCCGTGGGCACTACACAATCGGCAAAGAGATTATTGACCTCGTCTTGGACAGAATCCGCAAACTGGTAAGGCACTGCTAGGGGTAGTCCTCAGGTTTTAATTCACGTTTACACTGGCTTTGCCATAGCGCCATACCATTAACCACTCATTTTCATGAATCCATGCACTGGAAACAACCAGATGTGCACTCAGCATGGCTAAAAGATCAGTGAAAGAACTTGAGCAAAATGATATGAGCAATGCTTTTTTTTTTTTTTTCTGTGTCTGTAGGCTGATCAGTGCACTGGTCTCCAAGGCTTCCTGGTCTTCCACTCTTTTGGGGGAGGAACTGGCTCTGGCTTTACCTCCCTGCTGATGGAGAGACTCTCTGTTGACTTTGGCAAGAAGTCGAAGCTTGAGTTTGCCATTTACCCAGCCCCCCAGGTCTCCACAGCCGTGGTTGAGCCTTACAACTCCATCCTGACCACCCACACCACCCTGGAGCACTCCGACTGTGCCTTCATGGTGGACAACGAGGCCATCTACGACATCTGCCGCAGGAACCTGGATATTGAGCGCCCATCATACACCAACCTGAACAGGCTCATCAGCCAGATAGTCTCGTCCATAACGGCCTCTCTTCGCTTCGATGGAGCCCTGAATGTTGACCTGACAGAGTTCCAGACCAACTTGGTGCCCTACCCTCGTATCCACTTCCCACTGGCCACCTATGCTCCCGTCATCTCTGCTGAGAGAGCCTACCATGAGCAGCTGTCTGTTGCTGAAATCACAAATTCGTGCTTTGAGCCAGCCAATCAGATGGTAAAGTGTGATCCTCGTCATGGTAAATACATGGCCTGCTGTCTGCTGTATCGTGGTGATGTGGTGCCCAAAGATGTCAATGTGGCCATCGCAGCCATCAAAACCAAACGCAGCATCCAGTTTGTGGACTGGTGCCCTACAGGCTTCAAGGTTGGCATCAACTACCAGCCTCCAACTGTGGTTCCAGGAGGAGACCTGGCCAAAGTGCAGAGAGCTGTGTGCATGCTGAGCAACACCACAGCCATCGCCGAGGCCTGGGCCCGTCTCGACCACAAGTTTGACCTCATGTATGCCAAGAGAGCCTTTGTTCACTGGTATGTTGGGGAGGGCATGGAGGAGGGAGAATTCTCAGAGGCCAGAGAAGATATGGCTGCCCTGGAGAAGGATTACGAAGAGGTCGGGGTCGACTCATTCGAAGGCGATGAAGAAGGAGAGGAATATTAGACAGGCTTAGCTGCCATTTGCCAGTTATTTTCAGGGACGAAATGAGTCTATTTATCAAAAATATTTAAGAAATATTTTGCATGTTGGTTTCAAATTCAGAAATATTTGTTTTGTTTTTTTAATTTACCTTTTTAAATTAAATTTGACCTACCTGTCTGGGTCCTGAGGTTATTTCTTTGTTGTGCAGAAAAAATATGATACAATAAATAAATTAGGACATAAAAAGCTGGAAACCTGTGTTGCTCAATAAATCTGTCCCCCAAACATGTTGCTGGTTTAGTTTTTGTCTTTAAAAATGAATCCATCTGTTTCTAAAAGTAATGAAGCATTTTATAATTTGTGTCATGGTAATTTTGTACCATATTTTTTAATGTATTTTAATCTTGTTTTGTACTACATACAGTGTTGAGTTAGTACTGTGTCATTGCTTAACTGAACTCAGTTTGAATGCCTGTAATTTTGTAGCCCAGTCAAATCCAGCTTGTGAAGCCACTTCTACTGAGAGGGAACTGATTTCCAGGTCTTATTCTCCAATAAGATGCCATATTAAACTAGTAAAATAAAGGCTAGGCCATCTATGTTTCTTGCACAGAAACCCAGTTCTCACACACTTCTCTCTCTGGTTCATTTTGCAAACACAAAACTATGCTACCAAATCAATAGCATATAGTTTTCTTTATTTTATCAGACACTTCTGGATCATTCTTTTAATGAGGGTTGACTTTATTTGACATTTATTGACAAACACTGCGAAAAATACATACATATTCAATAACAAAGTAAAAAAAATACATACATATATTTCCATTGCTCTTGTTCCAACTTTGATTATCAAGTTAACTGCGAGACTTACTTTGGCACATCATGTACAAAACACAGGCCGTATATCAATACCGGAGGCGCCCCCTAGTGGCGGTGGTCAGGTCTGCCGAAGCTGGGCCGACATGTTCAGGAGGGCGGAGACCAAATGGTTCCTCTCATGTAACAGCCGCGTAGCTCGCAATGGCAACACGCTGGGGAATATGCAGTGCAGGTAAAATCAGTCATGACTTCTCGGTTGCTCTACGGACCCTGACTCCCGAGGAGCACGAGGTAACGTTTGATGATATATTGTAGCTCGTGTACACGCCTAATGAAACGTTGCATAAAGTGGGAACTCTACTGCAGTGCATGTCTGTGCTGGGTCTACATGCGAGTAAGTTACATCACAAAGGATGTAAAGATTTCATCATAAACTCTCTGTCAATGGGACTGAGCCACAGTGCATTCATGAGAAATACATGCCATCACCCTGAGCAACAGTTAACTGCTCTGTACAATAACCCTAGGACTCTAAATGAAGCATTTATTACTTATTTCTCCATTGTTGAAAATTCTGTTTATTTTTTTAAAACATAAATTCTATTCTAATACATCTACCTAAGCTGTGCATACTGTATGTACTGTCTCTGCAGTATATTTATGTCAGCATCCTTTGTGGCATCGGCAGCTCGCAGGGGCATTTGTTGGCAGGTTGAGATGCCAACGATTTTTCCTGAAGTGCCACACCCACTGAGCTAACCGGGCAGCCATTTTACATTGCATTTTAAATAATAAAAAAACATAGGCTACCACCAATTTCTTTCCTCAGCACTGCAACATAACAGACTGTAATATAAATCAATTATTGTAATAATCAAAGAAACCTTGGAAAAAAAAAAAAGCACAAATAGGGTCATGAAAATGCTACCAAGTCTAATATTGCCAAGTGTTAACATTTATAAAGTATAAATGTCGGTATCTCACTAGCAGATGCTACAAACACCTGCAGTTGCAGTGGTTGCTGTTAGTCTGTGTTTGTGCATTGAGAGCAAGGTAAAAATGGTGTGAAATTCCTTGCATGTGCACACATACCTGACAAATAAAAGTGATTCTGATTCTAAATAAACATGTGGGCATGTGGACACTATACCATGTGACTTCATTAGGTAAGAACTAGAGATATTCCCATTATTCTTTGGCTGTCATAACGTCAGAGTTCTCATTACCACCACTGAGGCGCCTTTGAGCAAAGCACAGGGACATTCTATCCTAACAAATGTACAAGTCAGACTGGTTGTGCAGCTGTTTTAACCATGAAGAGGATGATCTTGCGTTCACAGTTTTTTTCCACTGCTGCTGGAGAGTACTAACTGCATTCTTCTCTCCGTATAATGCCAACATCCTGCTTTCATAACTACAAGTTTAACACAACCAAGAACACCAAGCAAGCCAATTACTCTGATGCTAAACTTTTACAGACACAAAGGTCAGCTGCAGACAAGTACTGCATTCTTCAGGTTTTTACATGACAGTGCCTCCAATAGAAGGAAGAGGAAATGTGTGGTCAATGCTACTTCTATCCACTTTCCACAAGATCAATTAAACCTTGTTTTCGTTGGGATATCTTACCTGTTTTGACAGCTGAGCTGGCAGTACAGAACCTTGTCAGTAAATCATGAAATGTATGTTGTAATAAGGGAAATTAGCTTTCAAGGTTTCATTTGTTAAATAATGGTTGCTTCTAAAGCTGCACTATATGGTAAAGACATCATATTGCACTAATTTTGACAGATATTGCGATATAATTCACAATTAGTCAGGGAATGGTCATTTTTGCATCACAAATTAATTCTGATTGAAAAACTAATTGTATCAACAAACATGTTTTCTTAAATTTGAAAAGCAGTATTTCATTTTAATGCTGTTTGACACACATTTTACATTTATCTGCGGCTTCTGTGATTTGCATATTGCATTTGGCCATGTTGCAATCTTATGCAATATTTTGATTAATAGCCCTATTTGCTTCTGCAATTCATTAATTGGCAGATTTCTGTTCACAATGTTATTTACATTTAAGGTTTGATACATATTTATTCAGTATAAATTACTGCACATAAATGCTTGTGTTTTTTTTTTTTTTAGATAGTGGCTGTTGCAGCGAGGGACCTGCAGCATGCTGAAGAATTTGCCAAAAAACACAACATCCCTCGAGCATATGGAAGTTATGATGAGTTGACACAAGATCCAGACATTGGTGGGCTCTTTTGTCAGCATATGGCATATGGTTTTGGTCTAAATTGAATCAACAAATTCTACTCAGCTGAAGTGTCTTCAGACCAGTGAATGAATCTGAAGCTCAAAGAATACTAATTTACTATTTAATAATGTTGTCTAAGCACTCGTCTTTCTTTCCTTCTCACTTTAGATGTGGTGTACATCGGCACCATCCATCCTCACCACTTGAGTACTGGAAAGCTCTTTATGAAGTCCAAAAAGAATGTGCTGATTGAGAAACCCCTGGCCATGAATTCAAGGGAAGTGCAGGAACTCATCACTGCAGCCCGAGACAACAGTGTTTTTCTCATGGAGGTAACTAAATATAGCCATTTTTAAAACAAAATCACATTTACAATTCGCCATTTTTCCGATAAACCATTCCATGTCTCCTTTCAGGCAATTTGGACGCGTTTCTTTCCCGTATCCCTTGAAGTGAGGAGACTGCTGGGCAAGGGTGAAGTGGGTGATGTTCAGATGGTGAGGGCTGATCTTGGAGCTCCTCTCACCCATATCCCTCGCTTGGCTGAGAGGGAGTTAGGAGGGGGGGCACTGCTGGACCTGGGAATCTACTGTCTGCAGTTTGTCCTCATGGTTTTTAATGGCGAGAGGCCCGAGTCCATCCAAGCCACGGGACATTGCATAGACACAGGTAATTGTCTCAGGGAAGGAACATTTTAGTTAATGACAAGTTATATACTTTAATGAAATATTCAGTATTTGAAAACGCTTATAGTTATTATGAGATAAAATCCAGAGATCATTTACAGAGGAAATTACTAGCCACTTCTCCAGAGTTACCAAAGCTCTCACTACATCTTTTATCCAGGTGTTGATGGAACAGCAGTTCTGGTCCTGAGGTTCTCAGGAAACCGACTGGCCGTTTGCACTTGTTCAATCACCATGATGATGACCTGTGATGCTGTCATCACTGGGACCAAAGGCACCATTAAGGTAACAGAAAGCCCAGCATTCAGTAAGAAAAGTAGATAAATCTTCTCCATACAGGACAAAATGACACAATGTTAATGTTAATTGTAGGCTATTGTTAACATTGTAAATGCGCCTGTAGACTTGTACTTGTGTTGATTTATTACACAATTATTTGGAATTGAAATTAAAATCATAAATGTCAAAGTCCTTACCTTTGTATGCAGTGTGGCTCTGTCTGTTTTGAAATTGCCCACTTAAGTTGTTGAATTCAAGTATAGTATACTGTAGTATAGTTAAGGCATGTAAACTTATTAGAACATAAAAAAACATGATAAAACACAGTAGATGTGGTGAAATACTAGTGTTATATCTTAGCTCAACAGGGTAATTGTATGTTTACTCTAATGTATGTTTAATCTATCTATCTATCTATCTATCTATCTATCTATCTATCTATCTATCTATCTATCTATCTATCCGTCTATCTATCTATCTAATTAACAAGTACATTCACTTGAGATACAAATTGTAACTACTAGCCAGTCAAAAGCAAGTGGTCATTGTTGTGGCTCTAGCATTTCATGTAAGGTGAGTTACATTACACTGGTTTCCACATCAGGTACCCCACCATATGTGGTGCCCCACAACCTTGGATGTGAACGGGAAGGAGATGCAGTTCCCCCTGCCAGAGGCTGGCATGCCACTAAACTTCACCAACAGCACAGGTCTACGATATGAAGCTGAGGAGGTCCGCCACTGTCTGCTGAAAGGTACAAGATGCTCTAATGTGTAATGATTTAACAGTTAGCTATAGCATTTACAATAGATCTTTATTGATCTAATTTGTTTTTTTTATTAACATGTTCAGAAGTGAATTCAATACTTAATATGCTAATAGATTATCTTGACCAATCAGCTGTCAAAATGTGATTCATCCTGAGATTCTCTTCTCTCTTGTGGTCTTTCGCTTGTCATTGTTTGTGATTGTCTGTTCCCCTCCAGGACTAAAGGAGAGTCCATGGATGCCGTGGTCTCATTCCAGCCTGTTAGCAGAAGTTATAGATGAGGCCAGAAGACAACTGGGAGTAACGTATGACCAGGATAATATCCAGTGAGGTGTTCTCAGTGCCAGTTTCCTGTTGAATTCAGGGCACATGGGATCATTGTAGGTGTATTGGCTAAGCTTGGACTGCTTTATGTGTGTGTTTGAGTGTCATACAGTAATATACAGTATATACTGTAATAACAGTGCCTTTGTCCTAGTCAAGGGGTCCTAGTGAGCCATGACAGCCTGCACAAAGCAACTAAATAAAATTCATCATTAATTGTATGATTTATCTGTGTTTTTCCTACTGTGAAACTATATTTAGTATGTTAAGGAAACGCCCCACATATGTATTTTCTGTAATAGGTGGAAATACAAAATTCGCTATGGTAAAAATCTTCTTTATATTATATACTATATAGTTACAGTCCTTTACCTGTTCCTGGAAAATAAAAAAACAAACACCTTGTGCCTAACAGCTAAAAAAAGATATTAAGAAAAACTTGGGCTGTACCTGCCTCATACTTTGACTGAAACATTTTAATGGATCTATAAATAAAACTGGACATTTATTTCCATTCATTCATATTAAAATGCACACATTTCATTCAAAGTCGGGGTTATCTTTTTTTTTCTTTTGTTTACAATTTTATTATTTATTAACATATGGGATCAAGTATTGCATTTCTTTTATTTTGATTTTTTCAGATTTTAAATTAATTAATTTAATTTATTTAATTAACCACTATCTTGAAGAAATTCGGGCCATTACAGGTTGCTAGGCAACTGCACAGACGCTTTTCACCTTACCGGAAGTGCGTGGCTCAGAGGAAATATGGCGCACAGGGCAGTGCATATACCACTAGTATTTATTGCTTCAAGATATTATTTTACCTCATTCTCTTTGTCTGTTTTCGTCGCGTTTGCAGCATTTAAAGCCGTAAACTCTGACAATGTGTACAGCGCAAGCCACACGGCCACCGTATCCATCGCCGCCGCCAGGGATCTACGGTGAGTTGACGGTTGTGTTGCTGTTAGCCAGCTAGCGGCTAACGTTACGATACTAACGTGAAATTACAGTCACAGTTAATTCATTTCTGTTCAGCTGTAAAGGTCATTTGTATGTGTAGGGGTAACTACAGCTCCAGGTTACACTTTTGCCCTTTAAAGGCTGTATTTATATCCCTTTCGCCAGACTTCGGAACCGCGTTTGTTGGTAAGCCCTGCAGTGTTGGTGAGAGGTAAAGCTGTACCTGACTCCATTTAAAAAGTTGTCAATTTAGTGGCTTTTAGCGTATTATAACCATACATTCTTTATAGACCTATCCTATAATACGATTTTCAAAACATTTTTGTCTTGTAGTGTATTTCGGCATATAAATAGTTCATTATCATACAGTCTCTTTACAGTTTAGGAGAATTAATGGAAGTAAGTTATGTTGCTAACTAACAATCCTTACATAACTAATGATATCTGATGTCAATGTCGAATAGGATTTTTGAGGTTTGTTGATAAAAGGTGGCATGAGTTACTTACTGGTAGTTTTACCTGTGCATGGGCATTTGTTTGCAGCATGGTTGTATGTACTGATCAAGCAGTTTGTAAGGTGTCTCTAAACATCAACTGGGTATGATGGTGCTCTCAAAGTCATACACGTGTATAACCACCATGTTATATACCTGTATCAAGAATTTGCTCTTTGCATTTTTATTATTATTGTAATGTAATGCTGATGCTGGTTTTCTCCTCTTTGTCCTCTGTGTATAATGTCATGGCCATAGACTGTATGATTAAAAAAAGTCATGGCACTATTTTATTGTTTTTTTGTGACACTCCTGCGATTATTACCTGTTAGACTGTTGCCATCATTCAGTTCCAACAACAAACCACCTTTTAAATGTTGGCACAGGATGAACTTTCTGTATAATTAAAGGTTAGGTTACTTAAACCATAAAATAGAAGGAATAGATTACTAAAAAGCTTTAAATTATGGATTCTTGTAGGTCCTAGAGTAAACAGAATTTGGACTGTATTAGCAGCAATATGACAAATATAGCTCTTATTTTGTTATACAGACATTTTAAATTTGACCAAGGTTACTTTTATTACTGAATGTAGTAGGTTTTCACCAAATAACCTCTTGCTGCTTTTCCCCTATCCAAAGCTTTTTCAAACTCTAAGTCCTTTCGTGTCACCTCAGGTACCTTTTGTATGACGTGAATCCCCCAGAGGGTTTCAATCTGCGGAGAGATGTCTATATCCGCATGGCCTCCCTGGTAAAGACTTTGAGGAAGGGTGGGGATGACTGGGTATTAGTGCTTCCCCCGTGGGGTCGCCTCTACCACTGGCAGAGCCCCAAAATCCACCAGATCCGCATCCCGTGGGGAGAGTTCTTCAGCCTCACTAGCCTGCAGGCCAATGTGCCTGTCATTGAGTATGAGGAATTCATTGCTGGTGAGCTTTTAATTTTGGTGACCCAGACTATAGTTACATTTTCTCAAAGGTTTTCATTTACTGAGTATTCTTTAAGCTTTTTATACCAATAAATACTATTGGTTCTTTTAAACAAAGCACAGTCACCGCTATTTAATCAGCTGTTAAAACAGATTGCTACTTAGCTCATATTAAATGTGTTGAAGCCTAACACCCACTGAGTGTATTGTGTTTCTCGCCTGTGTCTAGAGAATGGAGGCCCATTCATAGACCAAGTTCTGGTACTGCAAAACTACGCGGAGGGATGGACTGATGGAAAATGGGAGGAAAAGGTTGATGAGCGACCGTGCATTGAGAAGTTGATGTACTCCAAAGATAAACAAGGCTACTACAGGTAAAGCAGCACAGTGCGACATCAATTTAAAACAGTGTAAGAAGAGAATTTTTACGCGTATACAACTAATTTGCTGTAGCAGTGTAATGTGTAACGCTCTTATTGCACAGTGAAATGTACGGTTGTGGAGTTGATGTGGTGGCTGCGTGTATAATTTGTGAGCTTTACACCAGATACTGAGTTTTTATCCTGACAGTATTTGCCATTGATTACAATCTTTTCTAAACCATAGTAGCTGTCATGACACTGATGTTTCCTGAATCCAGCGGTTATCAAACTTTTTCTGTCATGCATTTGTTTATTGTTCCTACACGAAAGAGATTCATTAAGCTTAAGTGCCAAAGAAAATTAATTGTAATTATAGTAGAATAACTCAGTAGACCTCCTTTGGACAGTGATGGATCACACAATATCTATACTGTACCATCTCTAGCTTCCCTGCTCGCACATCTCCTTCCTCTCCATTCATCATCAACTGTCTCATTTATCTGGCTTGTGTGTGTGTGTGGGTGTGTTTCCAAAGGGGCTGGTTTTGGGGCTACGAGGAGACGAGAGCTCGAAATGTAACATGTATATCGGCCCAAGGCCATGCCTCCATCATGGCCCCGGTTCTTCAGAAAAACATCACAGTGACGTGAGTCCACCGACTTTACACGTGCGTTGACATTTGTCATGCACCAGTGGCTGTTAAAATGTGTCTGTGGCAGATAAATCAATATTATTTTTGAATTTTGTGATTGCATTCCGTCCTGTGGAGTTCGATTATTTTTAAACGTTAATCCCTTTTGCAAATGTACTCGTGAAGCAGCACTTACAGATTACTATAAACAGTGGACAGCATATTAAGTGTGCTGGTAAAGCTATGAGAAGGTATGTTGTAAAAACGTTAAAACAAATTGTGTTATATAAATATCTTGCCAGGATATTGTACCACCTTCAGTTGTCTTACAAAATCTCTGAATACGATCATCATATGTCTTCTTGAAAATGGAGTATGTTTTAATAAATTCAGTTGTACAGTAAAACTGCAAGGCGAAAGAATGCGAGCAATATAAAAAAGATTGTATTTAATCTGTAATGTTATGGAAAAATTAAATCAGGCCCAAGGTTGAGGTTGCTGTGACACAACTGTCTTTAGTATCTTCTCCAACACACATCTGAGTTACAGCCTGACGTAGAGCAGCTCATTTTAAATTAATACATCTTTTTCTTTAGTTGCATTTAATTTGGCGCTACTGACTTTACTAATTATTTACTAATCCAACAGTGTACATTAGATCACATTAGGTGTAGCTATTTATAACAGCCAAAGTATAAGCACAAGTCCTCTAGAAGTCTTTAAATCTTTTATTGGGAATATCTGAAAGATTATCTGAGTTTTTTTCTATTAAAGTGTGACATTACTCACTGTTAGTTCTCACAGATCTCGTTGTTTGTGTCTCATTATTTTGCAGATCAGTTATGCTTGACCGAGCAGAGACACTCCTCCATGATCACTATGCTGGGAAGGATTACTGGGATGTAAGTAAAGTAATGGGCTAATATGTGGTGTTGGGTATTAGCTGACATCTGTTTTCCAATAGTTTTTTACTAACTTAAAATAACATGGATATTTGGTTGGGTATCTTGACACCACGGGTTTAAGGCGCAATCTCTGGTCTGTAACTTGATGTGAGTGTCTGCAATTGTCTGTGTTTGATGTAGACCCGTCGCAGTATGGTTTTTTCCAAGCACCTGCGACTCATAGGAGATGACTTCCGAGCCAAGTACCTGAACTCTACAGATGACAGAGACCATACCGTTTACAGTGAAGATTGGACTCGCATGAAAGTGAGTCAGTGTATCTGACTGGGGCATGATTATAAGATTGTGCTGTTGAGTCTGCATTTATTGATTTTGTTATTTTTATAGATTGACATTGTGATCACTTAATAAAAAACAAAAAACAAAAAACAACTATTGATTTCAGCCTATTGATGGTCACGTTTTAAGCAATAATTAAACAGTTGTCTGTATTTATTTGCTTCTCAGGCCAAGCTGGGCTCAGCTAAAGGTGGTCCATATCTGGGTGCCCACTTGCGCAGGAAGGACTTTATCTGGGGTCACAGAGAGGATGTCCCCAGCCTTAAGGGGGCAGTCAAAAAGATGCGCAGCTTGATGAAGAAGCACAAACTCGACAATGTGTTTGTTGCAACAGATGCAGATGGGGATGGTAATGTGATAGTTTACAATTTTTTGTGGAGAAATTTGTAATGTTGAGTAACTTCAGTATTTTGCCGCTTATGAAATTGTGTTTTGAAGGTTGAAACAACTATTTTTAAATTTAGAAAAGCCTTTATATTTTGTGATTAAATACATTTTGTTCAATTGTTAAATTTATTCTGGTCTAAAACCATTTCAAACAGCATTAACACAATTAGATGGGAGTTGTTGTTATATATAATCTATGTAATTTTGTAGAACTGAAGGAGCTGAAAAGGTTGTTGCCAGAAATGGTGCGGTTTGAGCCATCCACAGAGGACCTGGAGCTCCTTAAAGACGGAGGGGTGGCCATCATTGACCAGTGGATATGTGCGCATTCAAGGTAGATTTTTAAAGTTTTTATGGTATTGTTGCATGCATTCATTACATGGTGATTAGCATAACAATTTATCCGTCAACATATTGGTATGAGACAATATGATAGCACAGGTTTTATGTTAACAACTTATTTATTAATTACATATGCTTAGCTCTGTTGTCATTCATTTAAACTAAGGGTTAGCGTGTTTAAATTAAATTTTCTTAAAATGTATTTTGCTTCACTATTCCCCCCCTCACTTTTCCTCATCATCAGATCAAATTAATTGATCCAACACTTTGGTTAATGACCAAATACCTGTAAAACGAATGACACTTCCATCAGCCTCAGCAGTACTTTGTTTGTACTGCGTTTGGTGCTAATTAGCAAATGTCAGCACGCTAACATGCTAAACAAAATTGTTGAGCACCACTATGCCTAAGTTCAGGCTATATCATTTCAGAGTATTGTGTGTTGAATAATTAAAAAGAACTTTTTAGAAATTTAGAAATAGGTCTCAGTGTGCATTACTTTAGTGTTTTTTTGCTGAAGGCATTGTATGGTAACATAAAATGTGTACATTGAATTATTAAGACTTGAGGCAGTCCATGTGTTATTGCTGATTTTTTGAAAAGAGGTAATTATTGAGGACTAACAAGTTTACGTTGGTTACTGTGTTTCATCCCTCTGCCAACTTGAAATTGACCTTTACTCCTCGATAACTCAGATATTTTACCAGCCCGTAGAAAATATTTTCAACTTGAAAAACTAATCAGGACTGCTGCATATGCTGCTCTCACTGTGTCACATGCTCCTGTAACTTTCCATCAACTTTGGATCACTTTTCCTTCTGATGTTTTTATCTTTCTGTCTATCTATCTATTCATTCAGATTCTTCATAGGAACATCAGTGTCCACCTTCTCTTTCCGGATCCACGAAGAGAGGGAGATCCTGGGTTTTGACCCCAAAACTACATACAATCGTTTCTGTGGGGACACTGAGAAAGAATGTGAACAGCCCACACACTGGAAAATTGTTTATTGATGAGACCTCTTGACTTTCCTGACACACACAAGTGCCAAAAGCAGTATTTTAAGTGTTTTATGGTGTATTTTTTATGGTTTAAGAGTTGTGCAATCAGGTCTTTGGAGACCACTGTGACTGAACCGTATGCTCAAAAGGCCAAGACTGGGCTTATATGACTGTAACAAGTTCAACAAGTAAATCTGCAAATATTTTGTAGGTTGTATGTTGAATGTGGATCCTTCATGACAGCCTGGTATTTTACATAATGTCTGATATTTATCACTAACACCAGCACCACTGGTGAGAAACAGTGTCTTATAGTGACTGCCACAGACAGTGTTGTATGAGAGTATCCTCAGTTCAACATTTTGTGAGATTCAAAGATGTTGAGCATCTAAATTTAACCTATTTTTTCCCCCTAAATATTAGACCACATAAGAAGCATTCAGAGATTATGAACATAGTTTGAAGATAATGCATTTTTAATTAAAGGTACCCTATGGAGTTTTTCTTGTAAACAAGTAAAAATGTGTTTCTTACCCAAAAGCACTCTGTGTGTACCATTAGGCCTAAATCCTAGTCTGTTAAATGCATTTCCTTCCTCATAAAACTTATTTTAGAACCTTGCAATGTTTTCGTCCATGTTTGCTAGCAGTCGTCTTCTTCACTGCCTTTTGTTAGCGCAAGGCTTCGTTACATAATATGTTGCCACCGACTGTTGATCAGTGGATTAGCATTAAACTGGTGAGATGAAAGTGTACTTTGTTGCCACACTCTAGTGCACGAGATCCAAACAAAAAGTGCTCCATAGTGCTACATGTGTTCAAAAGCTCCATAGAGGACCTTTTAAAAATGAAACCTAACAAATTCCAGCTCATGCTTTGTTGAAAATAGTTGTATTCCTCCTCTGCTTCCACCGTATTTCAGTGTTTCCTCCCTTATTTCATGTTTTTACCCAGTGCCAGTATTAACATTTGTTACATGAAATTCCTTATTAATGCTTAATACCTTTAGCCTTTTCTTTGGAATCCACAGACTGTATATTTGGTATGTGTTATTATGGTGTTATGGCTAACGATACTACCATTGAAAGGAATCAAAATGCCACGAAGGAGCCACTGTGTCTTGTCAACACTAGCCAGCCATCAAGCTGTTATCTTACAACACGACTTGTTGTTTTTTTTTGTTGGTTCTTTATCCCTGAGCATGCACACATTAATTAATTCAGATATGGGCATTGTCTCATGGTTTGTACAGTAGATGTTTTTAGTGAATTTTGGTGTTGAATAAAAGTTCTTTTGGAGTAAAACAAACAGATTTTACATTTACACACACACACACACACACACACACACACACACACACACACACACACACACACACACACACATTTATATCATAACCTTATATAGTCAGAAGCTGAAGTTTAGAAGTGTTGATGTAAATGTTGTAAGAGATTATATCTTGGCTTGTTAAATGTACCCCGTACACCCCTAAATATATTGTTTTCATTACTATTATTTTGATTATTCACGTAATTTCAGACTATGAACATGTCATAGTCGCTTGAGGAATTTTACATACTATGGACCTTTTAAATTGATATAATTTGGACCCCAGACTCCAACATTAAGATCTAATCCTTGGGACCAGCAGCACATGTTTCTTGTATTATTTATTTATTATGTCTTTGTCTGATAAATGTGAGGAAACAGTAGTGCTGAGTAAGAGTAACAGGAAGCAGTCATCCGTATAAATTCGTTTTTGGGTCTTTTTCTGGAGGTGAGGAATAAAAAGTGTATGCCTAAGTACCCCTGAAAACTTTTTAAGAGCCCTGCTTTTCAGAGCCATTTTGGAAATCTGTGCTTGACTCAGCAAATGCAGCCTGATGAAATGATTCAAATCTGGAGATGTATGATATATTGATGTATATTTACCCTGGTTTGTACTTACTAATTACCTCTGGCACATTTTTTCAACCACATATTTTTATCAAGATGGAAAACCTGTAGGACTACCTTGATGATGAAATTCTTATTGATGTTTGAAGTTGAACAATAAGAGCAGTGTCACATGTCACCTATACCCTTGTTTGGCCCAACCCATGTAGCTTCATACTGCCCATTGTTTTGCCTTTTGTACATTTTTTTATTCTTAAAACATACAAATTTGTTAGTTACATCATTATTTTCCTGTGTGTATAGCACAGTCATAAGATGTGCACCGTCTAGAGAATTCACTACATTGTTTGGACTTCTCCCTGTGGATCCCTCACATTATATCAGTGTGATTTTTCCCTATGGAGACCTGCACATACTTCCTCAAACAACACTAAATAATTAAGACATGATGCAATATGATGCTTGGTGTCCCCTCTAAATCACTGCAATCCCATGTAAATCAAAAATTTTGTAACCTTTTAACATTTAATCTTACTCACAGATGAAAATGTCTCCCTGCTGATCACTTTATTCAGGTTGTCCAGAAGTTACTCTGGCTAAGAACAATGGCCATACAGAAAAATAAAAAAATAAAAAAATAAAATTAAAGCAGTACTCAGTTGCTTATAATCTCAGTTTATGAGACTACTGCAAATCCAACAAATGAAAATACAGTAGGTGATCATCCAGTATAGCAATGGTGGGACATTAAAGCCATATTTAGGTTATTATGCAGTATAGAAATGCCTAAAATCTTACTAATCAAAGCATATGTTAAACAAAGTATAATCCTTATAGGAACTATAGTATTATTATTAGTAATGTATTACAGGGGTATTATGTAAATTACAAGTCCAGTCACATGTAATAATTGCTCGCTGCAGCTAACACGTGTTATTAGTCTGTCCCAGGAGTCATGAACTTCTCCTCTGCTTTGAACAGGTTGCTGTCAGTACACGCCCTTTCTCACAGATTGACTCTCTCACACAGGTGGAATTTCTCTCATAGCAGGAAACACAGGGAGAAGACAGGTTGTCGTAAACAGCGGCGTCGTTCAAGGAGGATTTATTTGCTCCTTTTTTTATTATTATTAGTTTATTTTCCAGCACGCATTTTGTTCTGTTTTACTCCCATAAACGACTGATGGAAAGGGCATCCTGCTAGGTCCCACCTAGCGCCATGTCCTCCCTAACGAACCTGCGACCTACAGTCAGTTAACAAATAGTTTGACCCATTAGGAGGACGTACGCAGCCAGGTAAGGCAAATGGTTAATTAGTACATTACTTTATTATTATTAGCAGTGGTGGAGGAAGGAATCTATTTATACATTTGAATCTGTTTTATTCCTTTTTTTGTTGTCTGCTTATAATTTGAATCAGTGTTATTACTTTTCTGTATTTTTTCCTCATTTTGTGTTTTTACTGAGTGTTTTATTTATTACAAATTCATTTGTTACCTTGTGTTTTCTCTTGAGTGAAGCACTTCGTGTTCGTGTGAAAAGTGCTATAAAAAAAAGTCTGATAAAAGTATTAATGCCACACTGTTAAAATAATCTATTGCAAGTATAAATCTTGCATTGAAAGTGTTACTACAACTACTTCTACCTTTAAAAAGTAGGCTATGTAAGTGAGCCCATAGTCAGGAAAATGTACTTCAAGTATTAAAGGTAAAAGGTGGTTATACAACATCATTAGATTATTATTGTTAGACATGCTTTAAAGTAAAGGCTGGATTTTACTGTTGTAATTGACTGATGTGAAGCATTATTAACTACTTTGTGTCGGAAGATAACTAATAATTATTTCAAGTAGTTTATTTTTGCCATTAATCAATTGTTTGGAGCCCAAAGTCCCAAGAGCCCAGAACCTATACTTGATTTGTCCAGCCATTAGCACAATAGTGAGTAATTCTTGGTTTCATTCCACCATGAAGAGTACAGCGGTAAAACTACTGATTTTCATCTGGAATTAAGTCATGTGGACTAAAGATGTGATAAAACAACCAACAAACTCATTCTCAAATTCATTATCTGTTATATCTGAAATGTCAAACCACTGCAAGTTTTTTTTTAAGTAGCTGACAATTGATGGATTGGTTTTCATTTCAGCCTCCTTCCGTGATGGCCTTCTTTCGGCAGCTGCAACTTCTTCTCTGGAAGAATGGGCTGACAGTCATCAGACAGCCGGTGAGTGACAAGTGCAGTAGGAACTTATTTTTATTCATAAGATCATCAGCTTTATCATAACCAAAGAAAGATTGTTGGGAATAAATAGCATAAATCATAATTAACAGCATCTTTACAGACCAGATACCCAATATTTTACTATCTATTTTTAGAAATGAACTCTTCATAAACTGATTATGGCTGTTTTCTGATTCTCTCGTGTTATAGCTATGGTCCCTGACTTTGATCATCTGGCCTCTGATTATCTTCATCATCATCGCTGTGACCCGCAACCAGTTCCCTCCAGTAGTAAAAGATACATGTAAGTGTAAAACTGCAGAGAATAGTACCTTGATCCAGTAGTTACATGTTGTGTTATTGACATGTAGTTCAATAGCCCTTTATCACTAATGAACGTCTTTACAAATGCAAGTCTTGCTGTTATATAGTCATTGATGATATGATATAATGTACAATCAAAATAGAGAGTGAGCAAACAAAAACAGCTTTCAATATAACCTACTGATAAATCTTATCCTATTTCACCTATAACCTGCCCTGGCACTACCAAAGATAGACCCTTTACTACTTTTTAGTAGTAGTAAGATAAACTCAATAAAAACATTAAAAATCTCTTTATAAATATTACAGTTGTATCATATTGTCTCTATATCTACAATGCATTGTCAGTGTATTACATACATAGGCAAAAATTTGCGTTGACACAATATTGACTTTACATGGACTGTCGGGTTTTTGTTTGGCATCATAACGAATAGCACACCTATGGACATTCAAATTTCACAATCACAGTAAACAGAAACAAGAGTAGTTCTTCAGATCCGAGCCTATCCCCATACTGTTAACATGTGGGTAAAGGCGCTTAAGAAGGGAGCGTTACATATGAATACACATCTGCCTTTGTGTCGCCATGACCACATTTGAGAGTGGTTGGTTGTAGAGGGAGTTGCAGAAATTGCGAAAAGAATAAAAAAAATAAAAATACCCTAAGTGTTTTAATAACCAGTAAGTCTGGTTCTTTTTATTACCTCACAAATGTCAACACAACACTTTATCCTCCAATGCACCTGTCAGTATGTATGAGGAAGTATATATTTTTCCATTATATACAGCATTGGAAAAATAAAAATAAATTAACAATGTAAGAAAGACCATCTTATCTTGACTAACCCTATTAATCTTGTTATTAACTGTTACCAGTTAACCACTCCCACGTTTGTTTAGTCCTTTTCTGATGGATCAGATTCAATGGACACAGGGATTCACATGTAATTTAATATATGTTATATACAATATATCCAGTGAGTCTGAACTATATCTCCTCTTCCCCTTTCAAGTGCTAGTTGGTGAGGTTTTTTTTGTTCATACTGGAAACAGGCACAGTAATGGACCACACCCAAACCTGGCAACAAAACCATCTTCAGTATCTGATGTTCAGACTAACTGACCACGAGTAACCTTGAATAAGAAATTTTACAAATTATGCTGCAAACCCATTCTTAAGTGTTTATTTGAATATGGGCCACTGTTTGTCACAGAGCTATTGAGTGCTATTAAATCATTCCTTATGATTATTATAGAAATGTACAATGACTATTTCCTATAAGATGGCACGGGAGGCATGTGTTAAAGTGTCATGGTTGAAAACTAATGACTGTATGGATACAAAGTGGTTTCCTTTCTTGAGTGGCTGTTTAAATACTGGAACTGGCTGCATGAGTGTATTTGTTAACCTTGAGGTCTTATGTAATTGAAAAATTTGTTTATATATCGTAGCTTTCATAATTCGTCTCCCACAAATGCCATGAATAGGCTTAGTCAAATGCTGTTTGCCCGGCTATTATTCTCCTTTAGAGGAATGTGTTGTGCCAAGATGAAACATTGCTTTCTCAGATAATATCAACAGGCTTGAATACCAAAAAGGTCAGTCTAGTCACAGCGGCTTGACTGTAACCCGATCTTCATGCTCTTCAAATCTCTTTTTCTTTGTTTTTAATTTGAACAATAGCTTAGATTGTTTTCTGACAGTATGAGTTTCTCATTGTAATGAAACAGACAAATGGAAAATAGCTCAAGCTCCTGATCCTGCAGGTCAGAAGTTATCGGGCCGGTTTATAGAAACGTTTTAAACCAAAACACGGCACTAAAAAAAGTTTTTGCAACAGACTGCTAAACTATTTAGTGTGTTTCTGATGCATGTTTTTTTCTTTTTAACCTCCCTGTAACATTGTTGTTGAGTAGTTTGTATAGTGTTCATGATATTTCTCATCAACACTATATATTTTACCAGTAATTCACATGAAGAAGTGCCACTGAAAGACTTTTTATTTGGCAAATTTCTCAGTTCTCTCAGCTTTCCTGAGATTTTGATCAAGCTGCTTTTTTTGACTTTCAACAGTAGCAATTATATAGTGAGCAGTCATGTATTGCCCTTGGAACAAAGGTAAACCTATTGGTTTTTACCCTGAGGGACCTGTATCTCTGTCCTGAACGAATCCCTCTGAGAGTGGGTGGCTGAGATCAACTGTGCCTTTTGCAAAACCTATCCGTCATGGATATCTGCTGAAAGAAAGCTGCTGTGCGCCAACTATTTTGCCGCCTACTTTAACCAAACGATTTTTGTTTTTCACTGTGAGGGTCCCATACCAACAAATACAACAAAAGTTAAAACAGTGTCACCAATGTCATGTCTCCTCCAGGTTATGTGGCACCCCGAAACCTCCCCAGCACGGGCTTCTTCCCTTTCCTTCAGACCCTCATGTGCAACACAGACAGCAGCTGTCATAACAAATCACGCCTGGCGGACCCAACAGCATCAAAGTCATCTCTGAAATCCTCACGGAAAAAAAGGTACCCCCATTCAGTACAGATTGTATATTATGTATTATCTGACCTATACGGCAAGAAACTGACTTTTACATCTTAAACATACTGAAGGTCTCTATTGGCCTAGCATCACATGATAGAAAAAGTTGTTCAGAAGGCCCTCGGGTCACAAAGGAGGGCCACACCTCAGCAAAAACAGCATCACAAGACATGATTAGTCAGTGTGATCATGGAGATGTACCAACAACAACGACAGCCCCCTGTGGTGGAAGGGAAGCCTCCCTAACCCCTTGCCTAATTATAACATTTCACTGCGATTGTATCTTATATTATTACATGTGACAAATAAACTTGGTTGATTGATTAATCAAAACCCACCAAAGTTTTATGAAGCCATATAAATTCATATTTTGACAACATTTTTTTTTTTTTAAACGATAGCACTGTTTTTCTTTTCTTTTGTCTGTTGTTTGCATGGTCACTTTTTACTGTATTCACTGTATTAACAGCTCCATCAACACTTTGAGTTGCACAATCTTTTGTTCGTGGAACTACTTTATTGTAGTTGTGTGTTTGTGTTAAAAATAGCAACATCGGTTAGTGGAAATTGCTTGTTTTCTTTACCTTTGTTACTTAAGCTTTTGTGTTGTCACTGAAATTTTAATTCCTGACGCAGAGAAAAAGGTGGCTTAAACCTGTTTGTCTAACCCTCAGCCTGCTGATGAATGATGGTTTGTGCAAATCTCCAGGCAGGCTACTTTCAGTCAAGCTTTTGTTTGGTTTTAGTCAGCCATATCTCACCTCCTCTATTCCATTGGCTTTTTATAACTAAACAGGTTTTCTCTTAGAACTTAGAGTTTCCTCTTTATTCAGAGCTATATATGTGAAAATGAATAACAATTATTTTTAACATTTTCATTTATCATTGTTGTAGGCCTAAAGTGATTCTTAATTCTCCAGTTGTGAAAGAAAAGAGAACATTTCGTCAACTAAAATGTGCGTCATACATTACGTTCCGATGGGGGTCTTTTCTATATTTTATGGAACCTCAGTAGTGGTGGCTATCTATCTTGAGTATCCCTACCTAGGATAGCTATGAACTCCAAATCCAAAAAAGAAGAGGAGAAAACGCTGCAGACAATACTGGTGTGCTTGATCTGTGGTGGGAAATGAACAGTAATAGTAGAGGTTGCTGACCCCTGCTCTGTAGGAAAACCCTTGAAGACGGACTTAAAAAGAATAAATAAATAAATTTGCATAAATATCTTTTAAATGTCTCATCTGATCCTTTTGACTGTGTGACAGGTCGACCACGTTGAACGGTTCCCCTCTGGCAGACCTGATTCAGGGGGATAGTTTCGACCTTTCCTTCTTGAAGGACTCCAGCAATGATCCTACAGAACTGGTTGATTTCTTGAACAACATTCTTAACGGACCCTTCTACTGTGCTTTTCAAGCCAAGAGACATTTCTTTTTCCAAACATTCCAGCCCAACTTCTGGTAAATGATGACTGGGGGTCTTTTTTTAGTGAATATAATATAAAATCTTTGAAGAAGTAGTTATTTTTAACTTTTAATAGATAAAACATTTAAAACGGGCCCCGGACATTAAAGAATAGTTTGACATTTTTATTGGCTTCTTTAATTTGTTTTAAAAAAACAAAAAAATTACTTTTTGACTATTTGGTCCAAGAACATTGGACTCTACTTGCATCTAAGGTTTGCGTCATAAGGTGACTATGATTTTAGACATTGCTAACTTCTACACAATGTGTTCTTTTCTTAAAGGTCCATCTAACCAAGGAAGATCTAATAATGTCTCTCTCATGAACGCCATCAGTAGCAGTCCTTTGGGAGATCAGGTGTGTATTGTTATGATATAATGGGAGGAACAAAACTGCTAAGAATAAGGAAAAGCCTGTTTCTTCAGGTGTCAAGTCTCTTATGTGTTGCTCATTGTTAATAGCAGATGGACCCTTACAATATTGTCTGACAGAAAAGGCTCAAATTTCTTTTTTCTTGTGTAAGTGACACTGTAATGCATGCACTGAGACATTATGTTAGAGTAAAATGTAGAACATAGGAGCAATAAAGTTAGATTAAAGATTAAGATAACACAATAAAGAGTCTATACAATTTGAATTCAATTCAGTCCGTTCAGGAAAGTATTCAAGCCACTCATCAAAGCAATCTAAAATGACAACACCAACCTCGTATCTCCACCAAAGTGACAAGAGATTAAAATAGCAAACAAACAAAGAAAAAAAAGAGTACTTGAAACTAACATCTTGCTACAAAATATATTATTATATTTCCAGAGATGACAGCATCAGTTAACTAAAATATAAGCTGAGATTTTATTTTACTAGTCTCAGACAAATCAAGTCTTCAGTCAGTCAAGTCTCAAAAAGGTCAAGTGTTACAGCAGAGTTATCTCAAGCCTACAGCACAGCAATAAGTTCATACATTCATCTGTTAATGGAAACTATAGGCTACTGAATTCATATTATCAGAACATATGGCCAAATGCTCAATTAATAAGGTTTATTACATGATAAAGGTACAGTATTTCTGAGATGTCAAAATATTTCAAATATTCAAAATAACTGGTCATAAAAGTCACAAATTACATTTTTATAATTACAGTTTTTGTAATGCTGAATTTTGGGAATAATGCTCACTAGTTATGTTACGCAATTTACAATCACTTTCTGTTCAGAAAATCTTATATGGAATTTACCTTTTGAATGAATACATTCACTTAATGTGTAACTGTAATAATCTGAATCCATAAATCCTATCCCTTGCAGGAGGCCTTGAACCAAACCCTGGAGTCACTCAACGTGTTGAAAAGGGCCGTCTGCACCGTAATGCTGCCCATGATGAACACAACCTCAGCCAACACCCTCTCCTATGCTGTGGTCACTTTCTGCAAGTCCAACAACACTGTGTTTGAGGTCTCGCTCAACACACTCAACCAGGTGTGTGTGTGTGTGTGTGTGTGTTTGCTTGCATGTGCATGTGTCACCTTGTTGTTATCATGTTAAAACTTCTTTTATTTCTGTTTTATGTGAAACCGTTTTTTGAATGTCCAAGTACACAAAACTGTTTGTTTTGTTGACGCTGACATTGCCTCTGGTTGACAGATACTGATGGGGCTGATGCTGACAAAACCAGATGAGATGGTGACGGCGGCTGGGATGGCAGTGTTGTTGTTCGATCAGCTGCAAAGTCAGACCTCACTGTGGGAAAGCCTGCTGGCTATTCCGAAGCTCTTCTCCTCAGGTTCTGTTGACCAAGTGCTGGGCACCACGGAGACCCTACTCACCAATGTACAGGGGTAATGTGCTTTCAGTGATGGAGTGATGCAAAATTAAGAAATGGCAGCTGTGTGAAAACAGTAGTTTTGGAGTCCACTGTTAGCATTGGGTAAACACTTCTCCAGAGCTCTGAGCTCATAGTCTGGGCAACACGGCTAAGTAACTGCGCTAACTGTAATAAAGGCAGCTACATTTAGCAGCAGTTTACTTTACTGTCCATCAAGAAACTCTGTAAATCACAGAGAGTTGAGCAGCTTGAGGACATCAGAGGGAAAATCAGAAAACATTTTCCCCATAAAAACATGATCCAGTCTCACCAAAATCAGTAACAAAGTTGGTGGTGTGTGACTAAGTGCCATAAATTGTTACACACTGAATGTAATAATGCAAGCACAGGCATATGGGGCGAAGACTGGGAATGACATAGTATTGAAAATGATTTTGAAGAACACTACTGTCTGTTTTGTCGTAAATGGTGCCCAGATTAGAAATGTTTTATTGGTATTGGCTAGAAAACACTCAGTCTAGTCCTGTTTGCAACCCACAATATCTGAGAGCAGCAGGAAGGTAAAGTGTGTGTTTTTCTAATCATTAGTTCTGTCAGGTGTTTGTTGCAGGTTCTGTCTTGTTTTGAGCATTAAATGTTTTCCCCTGTGGTCTCTCTAGTGCTATACATGTCATCCAGAGCAATTTCCCTGAAGCCGGTGCCTCACTTTCCACAGTGCATCCACTGCTTGTTGGAGGCATCAACATTCTCCACTATGTTCAAAACTGGCCTGGCAAAGGTAACTTCTAATGTCAGCCTACATATATAAAAGTGTTGTTTTTATAAATAAACCACTGATTACCTAATATACCTTTATAATACAGTTGAATTTCTTCTTGTTCCGCTTTCACATCTTTAACCTTCACCTTTGATATCAAAACACCAGAGAAATGTGGTCGGTCAAGTTTTGTGCTGATATGCCATCAGGGTGTAACATCTCATTTGATTCTGCGTAGATGTGTCCGTTTCCCTCGGCGATGTCGTCATGTTGCACAATGACTCACTAAGTGAAATGGTGAAATATGTTCTACAAGAAGTCCAGATACCACTGGACAAGGTACGTGCTGACCAAAGTCATTTCTATTTGGCCATATAGTATAGGAAATAGTTGTGATTCATGTTTCTTTTATGTATAAAATAAAAATTAGATGCCTTTTCATATTTGTCACCAATGGTGGAGATTGTGGTGGAACACTTACTGACCCTTTGAAGATCAAAATAAGGTTGGGTTAAGTAAGATATAAAAAGCACAGCAGCTTGTCAAACTGGTTTCACCCCACTCCGCCAACAAGGAAGTTTTTCGTGAAACATTTTACTTTCAGGCCCTGACTGATTCACTTTCTTGCCAAGAGTTAAGGTGAGAAGGGGAACAGCTAGCCCTGCTCCATTTGAAGGCAACAATACCCACCCGCCAGCACCTCTGAAACTGACTTAACACGTTATTTCTTGTTTGTTTAATCTGTACACAAACTTAAGTATAAAACAACAATTCAACGTTCCACAGGGGTTATGTGCTGGAACATTTCTCGGCTGGGTACATTGTGTTGTTAGTGAGCTTTAGAGGTGCTGGTTGGCAGATTCCTTTGGACAGAGCCAGGCTCAGTTAGCTGTTCCCAGTTTTAATGCTTACCCAAGCTAACCATCTCCTGGCTGTACCTTCATATTTAATGGACCCGATGAGAGTGTAATCTATAAGAGTACAAATATTGGGTATTTTCACTACTACTACATTTACATTTACTACTGTTCGTGATAATTGTTCCATAAAGGAGTGAGCAGTTTATTTTTTTTAGTTTGACCACAGTTTAATTATATTTACTGTCGCTCTCTCCCTCCAGGCTATCGGCCTGACACTGGACAGAGATATGGTGCGTTCCTACCTGTGTGACAACAGCAGTAAGCTGATGTGGCTAACAGCAGCGTGCAATACAGGCACTGTGGACATGCTTCTGGGCTGGATCTGCCCTGATAAGCTGGCAAAACAGGTAGGTCAAAACTATGTTATCATTATCAACAAAAGAGAATTACAGACTTCAGAAATGAGTCAGCTACTGAATGTGTGTGGGTGGCATATTCCTTTCCTGTTGTCTCGGCTCTCTCTTTCGCACTGTCTCGCTCTCTCTCTTGCTGCTCGTCTGTGTTATTCTGATTTGGATTCTCAAGCGCCACCTTCACAAGTAATTAGATTCAGAGCGCAGCAAATAATTAGTCTACGGCCTGCAAGAAAGCTGTTGGCCTTAGCAACAAGCAACTGCAAGTCCCAGGTCACACCTGGGGAACGGGAACCTTAAAGAAATCCAATTAGCTCTGCCAGTATGGTAGACGTGTTTTGATGAGATAATTCCCAATCAGAAGCTGTTAGCTAACACTGTCATCACTCAATTTACTCGCTCTGACAGTCAGTGGACATCAATTACCAATCTAATGCTGGCGTACAGCAGTGATGTGCATGTGTCTTATTACTCACCTACAGATTCGGTGCCACGGTGCATATGTGCTAATGATACACAGTCTTAGTGCGACCCAATTAACCAGTTTATTTGATCTCAGCTTTCTGCTTTCATAACTGGTGAATAAATCTCTAGAAGTAAAAGTTATATAAGTTATCAACAACTGTCATAATTAGCATGCTTAACTTTTAGCACTGAATGTACATAGCACAATCTTGCTTAATAACAAAATATACAATATATGCAATTTCTTTTATGGAAGGATTGTTTATATTGTAAATCAAAGGTCTTTGCAGTTTAAGAAAAATAAATTGCAGATCAGCTCTTCAAAACAAATTTGCATAGGTGAATGAAGATGTGAACAAAATACTTCTTTTCCTAAGATTATTGACAAAAAGATTAGATCTGGGCAGAATTATTTTCACCATTTTATAATAAAGTGTCATTTATTCACCTTATTTCTTATTGCTCTGCTTTAAGAAAGAGACAGGAGTAGAACAGAAAATGATTGACTTCTTGTACATAATGGATTTAGCAAAAAGGATTTTAATTTTGCAAATCTAACTGAGCATACCTTCTACTGTTTGTCCTCCCTTATGTGACCTATATTACTCACAGGCTCTCCTGGCGTGGAGTAAGCACGTTGCTCCTCATGATGTGTCCTTCGCCAAGGGGCTGCTGCACAGTCTGATGGGAGGTTTATCCCCAGGAGGGCAGGGAAGCTCCAACATCACAAGGACCCACCGTAGCGTAGATACACAACCACAAAACATTGAGGAGGAGCTGTGAGTACAGTCTGTTCTCTACATCGATTCTGTAAAGCAAATCCATTACAAGCTGCTAATTTTTTTAATACTACAAAAACGAATAAGCAAATTGGATTAAAGCAACTAAATGGACTTTTCTGAATATCACACAATTGAAGGAGTTTTTAAGAAATGTATATGAGAGTGCAAATTTATATTTTTGTTAAATATTACTTCAGATGATCAAAAAAATACAGCTTCTTATAATATTTTTTGCACCAGCTAATGGTCACGCTATACTTTCAAAGTGGAGATCTATACACCACTGTATTGAAGAAACATTTTCATCAATTTTCAGCCCATTCAACTTGTTTATGTATTTCTCACACTCCGCTTTCTATACCTCTAAAGTTAGCTACACTTTTTAAAAATGTAAAATTGTCCTCGCACACATCAGGCTAAATATTAGAAACCTGTAGTTGAGTGTCCACTGTAATGTGGTGTAACGGTTTGTACTTTCTCCTGAGTCTGGCCTTGTGCTTTGGCAGGTTTCTGGAGGTCGGTCAAGTGGTGATGGAGATTATACAAATTGTGCCTGAGGTGGATATGGTTGTCCAGGGTATCCTTAGAACTGGCTTTCAGTCCATGAAGGCAGCGACAGTGACCCTTGAGACTGTTGAAGGTAAAACTACATAACATCCTGCTTACAGTGAAGCCTGCTTTGGTGTCTAATTACAGTAACAGTTTTAACATATGAAATCTCTAATTTAAAAAAAAAAAAAAGTACACTGTAAACATGAGCTTTTGTTGTTAGCCCTTATGATGAGAGTGCAAGAGCAGAGAGACTAAACCTAAAAGTTTACACATTCACAGGACATATTGTGTTCAGCATAAGGAGCATGACTCACTTTTTTTGTCACATGCTGCCACAGTCACTATTGTCAACTCGACCTGGAGTAAAAAGAGGTGAATGGAAAAAGTTCACACCCTTTCTCAGGGGACTGATGAATGATAGAAGAAAGCAAAGTAGGACTAGAGAAGTTACCTTGCAGGAAAATTCACACACACACACACACACACACACACACACACACACACACACACACACACACACACACACACACACACACACACACAGGGAAGGAAAACACTCTATAAAAAACTACCCCCTGGGACGTATTATACAACAGAAAGAGAAGTCAATGTAAGCCTGCAAAGGTGCATTTCTTTTTTAAATGTACTTATGTTTTATAGAATATCACTAAGTATGACTGTAGTCAACTGATCTGGCTTTGTCTTTGTTGTGAATGTGTTCTCTACGATCTCCTGTGCAGAGCTTATGGTAAATGTTCTGAAAGATGCTGATCAACTCCAACTGACCTATCTAACATTGCTGACAAAGGAGACTGATGCAAGTGTTTGGATGGGTCATGTTCTGGACAGTGTGATGGAAGTGATTATGAAGGTATGTTTGTAGAATTTCCACTGATCTCTTGAAGGAGAATTATGTTATTTTACAACCTTGATCTTATTTTTGTAGTTTCAGCCATCATTTCAATCGGTTTTCATAACAGATCAGGCCAGATTCAGACTACAGGCCAAAGGGACCCAAATATAATAATATAATAATAATAATAATATAATATTTTTGCTCATGTGTGACCAGCTTTTTTCATGATGTGAACAGCACAAATCACATGCAATCGGATTTTTTCAGTTGTGATGTATGAGTTTCATGTGAAGTCTAAATCAGATACAGGTCATATCAAAATTCATGTGACTTTTATTTACTGTAAATCAACATTCATCATGCAGGTCACTTGAGGACCGTGACCTGTTCACACTGGAATCTGATATGGGCCACATTAAAAAAAATGTGGTCAGGCAAAGAAAAACAAAACAACAAACAATACATCAGCATTGAGTGCTAAAGCTTGCAGTGTGAACATACATAAGCCTTAGTTCCCCATGTCAGTGCTTAGATGTGGGTAGAAGTGCAAGTTTGAGCAACTGCCGGGATTTCCAAAGTTACATTTCTAAGCAATGAAAATAGTGTGTAAATTGTTACCATAAACATGAGGGCTGAAACAGCAAAAAAAAAAAAAAAAACCCACCCAGGTTGAAATTAACTGTGTGTATTATTTATCCAAGGACGTGTTGAACAACCAAGCATTGGCCAGACTCACAAAACTTTATTTTCAATGAATAATGTATCATGTATTTAAAAATTCACAGAGTAAGAACACAAATGAATGTTTAGTTTAGTTTGTTTAGTGATGGGAGAGTGGAAATTAAATATGCAAGTTAAAAAGTAATAAATACACATGGTAAAAAAATGCCAGAATGTGCAAAAGGCTATTTTTTTATCTGTAGTCCCTGGCCAAGGTATAAAAAGGGCTTCCCAAAATACATCGAATGTATATGAAACTATGTGCAAGAATCTAAGATGACTGGAATGAATGAACACCTGTCTGCCTAAATATATTTCTCAAATGATTCGCTGAGCTTTGAGGTTTTTAATCATAACATGGAAAGCAGTAAATGTAGAAAACACTTATCAGTTTGTGCTTTTTTCCCTCTGTTTTTACTAGAGCCTGGCTCCTGAGCATTTAACCTGTGAGGATCTCTTGGGTCCCTTCGAGTGGCTCTTAAACACAGAGAGTGTAAAGATCGAGGTGTGGAGATCAATGATCTGCCAAAACAGCTCTGTTCTAGAGCAAGCTCTGCTGATGGACTGGCTGCCAGTGGTTCAGAAGGTAAAAAGTTATTCAACTGCATTTGTAAAGTTTAATTTCAAAGTGAAATGTTGCCTAAAATTGACCTATTATGTAAAAAACATAAATTATTTGTGAGTCCTCCTCCAACTTTATGCTACTCTTTACTTTTTCTTATTGTTATGGAACAGATTTTGTAATTTTGGGGTTGAAATGTTGACAGAATCAGTCAGTATTAAAGTCTGTGACAGATAATTTATAGAGAAACACATAGAGAAAATTGTATCCATCTATAATGGATTCACATATGTCCTATCCATATAGGTAGCTATATATATATACCTATATATAATTTTCTGTTCTTAGTATCATCAATTGTGTCTGACATGGGGTTTAAAACTTGATCTGTTTGATTATTTATGTCATTAATCAAGTTATTTCTTCTTTCATATTATGTTTCGAAAGGTACAAGACGTGTACAGCACCTTCACACAACAAGCAGACTACAACGTGACACTTCCTATGATTCTCTCTGAGTGGCACAAGTTGTACAATGACTCTTTGCAGTTTGGAATGTTTTCGGAACGATTGACCACCGAACTGGGCGGAGCATACTGGATGAACTGGATGCCAAACAGCAGTCTTGATGTTATTGGGATTCTTCAACAAAGGTCTGGCTGATATACCTGCAGGGTTTCATTCCAGAGCACTATACTCTGCTTTGCGTAGCCTATCTATCTTTGCTGAAAGCTGAAAACTGAAAACAGGCACAATCCTCCGTGATTGTGTTTACAGTATATAATGTTCACTATGTCAAATTCCATGCTTTTGGTTATCATTTCTCTATCTCAACAGTGTTGTGCTTTTGCTTTTCTTTGCTTGTAGTGTGTTTTTGTCCGTGGTGAATTCTGGACAAACGATTGAGAAGAGTCAATTGTGGCCTGAGGTAAAGAACTATTTCCACATGGTTTACTGGATTTTGAACTACAGGCCTGGTGTCACAACTCAGCCAGCAAACTGTGAGTCCTGTTTCTCCTCTATTCTCTTTTATATGTTATTATCAAAATCCCACTGGATTAAGAGCATTCAACTATGTGTGTAACATGTTTACCTTTCCATATAGGTTCTGTTAACATCAACACCTTTGCCATTCAGTGCGATACTGGTTTGAACTGGCAACATTTTGTAAAAGCAATGGCTGATGCTCTGATGTCACCAAACCAAGAAGTCCTGTTGAAGTAAGTGAAAGAGCTTGGTAGTTTTAATGAATGATACCTAATTAAAAGTGGAGTTTAATCAAAATATGCCTATTTGTTTTCTTGCTGAGAATTTGACGAGAAGAACAACAAAAAAACAATTTGATCACCATAATGTAATGCAGCCCCATACACAACAAACTGACTCAATTCTGCTTGGACAGATATGAGAGTGGCATTAATATTATCATCTATGCCGTGGCAAAAAGCAAACATGTGTCTTAAAATGTTGAACTATTCCTTACATTAAATATTTAATATGAACTGATTGCTAGCATTGTTATGGATTTGTAATATGATTAAACAAGCAGCCTCTTTGTACAAATTCTTACGAGTTCAGCATAGTACCGACTGTGGCTTTTACAACACCAGAAAAAAGTGTTTATTTATTGTTGTTATTGTTTTACATACATTAGCCATTTATACAATTCTGACATGTTCTCTTCCACTCTTTTTTTTCTCTGTAGTTCTCTCAAAGGAACTGTGAATCTGTTGCAGCATGTGTACGGTGACATATATAAACATCTGGCGGGATCATATTTGAAAGAAGGAATTCAAGGTGGAGATGCACTCTCTGCCTACCTGATTAACCTGCTGAATAACCTGGATGGCTTTGTCCAGAAAATCACCACACTTAGTGACCAAAGCATCTCTAACCCTGATGTCATACTTCCCCACATCGGTAACCTGTTACAGTCCACAGGCCTGGCACCACTGCTGCCTCTGCTTCTCAGTGAGGGTCCCCTCAATGTCTCCACAGTGATTGATGTTGCCTCAAAGATCGGCAGGGTCAACCAGCACATTTTTACCTTCAATGAGACGGACCCAACAATGCCTGAACTGGAACGGTTGATCATGCAGTTCCTCTCCTTGGAGGGTAACCTCACCATGTCTCTCTCCCACATCATGGGACACACTCTGCTCACCTATTCAAACTACTTCCATCCTGATGATGTGGCCCGTCTCAGAGAAGCCATCCAGCCTTTCACCAACCAGACCTCAGCAGGCCTTGTAGAGGCCATCCTCAGTGCCATGGAGCTTTTGAAGACAGTGACAGATTCTCCAAATGGTGACCCAACTAACGTAATTATTGGGTACATACGCCAGCTTCAAGAATTTGTGATGTCAATGTTTAGACTGCGAAGAATCCAAAATCTTGTGTTACCAAGTGGGCAGCTGAGCACAGCACAAGTCACTGACCTCCACCTGCTTTCCAAAGACTTTCTCAGCCTCCTCACCCCCGAGAGCCTTGAGAACCTTGCCCAGGCTGGACCAGATGCTGCCCAGAACATTGTCATACAGAAATTTGTGGCATTCTTACCACCTCAGTTCCAAGAGGAAGCTGCTCGCTTTCTCCAGGATTTCAAAGCTTTGCAGTGTCAAATAATCAAATGTGCAGCAGGCCAGAAGTGTTTGGCTGGAATCTCAGAAGTCTTCTCATTCCTGGATCAGATACTGGAAATTACACTTTCGGCTAATGGTAATGTCACCATCAATTTGGCTGCGAACAACTCTGTTCTGGTGGGACAGGAATATGAGGAAATTGCATCCCTTTTCTTCTCACTCCTCCTGTCCTCAAACGATGCGGCCTATGTGGAAACATTCAAACAGACTCTTCATTTCATCAGAGTGATCATGGCTACACCAAATATTACCGTGTCTGAAATCCAGAATGCTCTCAGACAGTCAAACCTAACCCTTGAGGAGCTGAACAGCATTGCTGCACTAGCTGGAGCTGCCAACATAAATGACCTGATTGTAAATATAATGGAGGTCATCAATGTCCGCCAGTGTTTTGAACCACAGAATAACGAGACGGTGACAACGCAGTGTGTTATGGAGTTGATAAACGGGGTCAGCAGTTTCCTGGCACACCTACCTGCTCTCCGTAATGAGACAGCCATCCTCTCCCTCATTCCGTTGATCATCAATAATGTCATCAGTGATGTTGTCCAAGTTAACTTCAGCGCCAGTCCTGACATGGTTCTTGTACACACCCTGAACAGCACCCTGGCCAATGTCAAGATGGGCCTCCAGCTGAACCAGCTGAACACTCCAGAGATCATGAATGAAATCAGAGTACTGGAAGGTCTGATACATCTAGCTGCCAACCCCAAACTGTTGTCCAACAATTTTAACGACACCATGTATGCTCAGAAAGTCTATCTAAGCACTATAAATTGGTACTTGAAAAGGCTGGAAAATATCACCAGCACCAGCTCAGTCTCAGAGCTCCTCCATCCCTTTTTCTACCTCACGCAAATGCAAGTGACAGTACAGCTGGCACAGCTAAATGTCTCTTTGTTTGTTGGTAGCCAGGTTGAGCTCCTGATGAACAGCCTCCAGTACCCAATAGATGGTGCAGGGGTGAGGAAAATTGGCCAGACAGCAGTTGAGATTTTCCAGCGTTTATTTGAATCAACAATGGACAATTTGGAGAGCCAATCTAATCTCCCAGGTTTTGACCTGTGGCTCAATACAACCATTCTGTATGCTGCTAGGCACCAAGTTAATCTATACCTTGATCTCATACAGAAGTGGATGAAACAGCCCAATGTCACGCTGGTCCTCACTAGTATGCTCCAGTGGGGAGACTCTTCCATGAATATGTCCACCCCTATGACAGACCTCCACCATTTGCTGCAGACAATGGTTAATTTTCTCAGTGATGATGAACTGGCCTACCTTTCCATCATTGATACTATTACCCAGTCCCTGAGCAATGCCCTAATGGTGGCAGATCAACCAGGTGGCCTACAGAGTGACCACTTCTTAGTCGCCACGTTGGAAGCAGTCCAAAGTGCCATGCAAATCCTGACTGAAGCCACGGGCCCCCTGCCGCTCTCTGTACAGCAGAACATCCTTGAAATTGTGCGGGACTCAATTAAGCTCCTTGTTCAACCAGATCTAAGTTTTGCCTCGTCACGCAACATCTCCCTCGTCATCCTTAACAAGGCTGAGAGCATCATCCAAGAGACAATACCAGAAATGCTTGCTGTGTACCTCCTTTCTGGACTGAAAGTTGCAACCACATATTTTGAGACCATTGTTGCTGCCAGTGGACCAGACAACTGGAATCAGATGTGAGTGATGTTTCCATTTTCCTAATACTTCAACAGACCAAATTACTACTTTGCCATAATATGTTATACAGTTAAAAAAGGCTTGAAATGAATACCCATCAACAAATGTGGATAGGTGTCTGCCTTCCAGTGACCATAATTAACATCCACTGTTCCAGATTGATCATGTAAACCAAATAGAAAGCTAGAGTGCATGAATTGCTGCAATACTTTGATGAAATCTGATAAGACTTGATGACCTTTTCATGAAACACATTCAGATGTGAAATATTGATGTGTTTTGTTTCTTAAGAATTTTGAATGAGATGAAGACAGTCCAGAGCCTCCTGCCACCAAACAACACAGCCCAGGCCTACATTTCTGGCCTCATTAACATCACTCACTTCATCTTGGAGTCTGGCCAAGGCAAGTCAGCTTCTCTGTGTCACTGTAGGTGGACAACATGTTGAATCCTGACAAACTCTGATGGAGTGGAGGTCACATTGTGCAGTTCATTATTCAAGCATTAGGACAGCTGAAGAGCTGTGGATTAAAGCAGCACAATGTTTTTGTTGTCTGCTGTAAGAATAAGATGCTTCACTCCTAGGTTCACTCGGGGATTTTGTTTGTGTAGTTGAAATTTAGGTCAACTTTGTGAACAATATTTCTTGTGATTTCAGGCAACATGAGCCTCTGGGCAAGTTTTGAGTCTGCATCACTAACAGATTTGCCCATGATTACTGGCCAGGTAAGGCTTAAACACGTCATGTGTTTAAGAGAATTTAATAATTTAGTTTCTCCTTATAATTATGTTCAGTGTGAATTCATTTTGTGGAAAATGCATGCTAAAGATGACATTGCATTAAAAATAAGACGTGGATAAAACATCTCAGTTTCATCTCTGTTGATACTGGTACTGTTGGCCAACGTCATGTTCCAAACCACAGATGTGTTGAGATAAGTTGGTTATGAGGTTATTTATGTACAGCATCATTTAGCATCATAGGCAGACACAAATATGATCTTATCATTTATCAAAGTTGTGTGCACTTAATATTGTTGAATTCTGCATATGAAATATGTAACCTATTTTCCTAATTTCTTCTAATTTCATGGTCAGGTGGGAAAACTATTGAGCATGCTTTGGCCTCTTCTCATGGGTGGCCTAAACTCACAGGCAACTACTCCATATCTGGAGGACTTGGCTAATCTTCCTTTACTCCTGGAGCAGCTAATGAGTGCCTACCTCCCCAACATTAATAATATCACCCAGTCCCTGAGCAATGCCCTAATGGTGGCAGAGCAACCAGGTGGCCTACAGAGTGACCACTTCTTAGTCGCCACGTTGGAAGCAGTCCAAAGTGCCATGCAAATCCTGACTGAAGCCACGGGCCCCCTGCCGCTGTCTGTACAGCAGAACATCCTTGAAATTGTGCGGGACTCAATTAAGCTCCTTGTTCAACCAGATCTAAGTTTTGCCTCGTCGCGCAACATCTCCCTCGTCATCCTTAACAAGGCTGAGAGCATCATCCAAGAGACAATACCAGAAATGCTTGCTGTGTACCTCCTTTCTGGACTGAAAGTTGCAACCACATATTTTGAGACCATTGTGGCTGCCAGTGGACCAGAAAACTGGAATCAGATGTGAGTGATGCTTCCATTTTCCTAATACTTCAACAGACCAAATTACTACTTTGCCATAATATGTTATACAGTTAAAAAAGGCTTGAAATGAATACCCATCAACAAATGTGGATAGGTGTCTGCCTTCCAGTGACCATAATTAACATCCACTGTTCCAGATTGATCATGTAAACCAAATAGAAAGCTAGAGTGCATGAATTGCTGCAATACTTTGATGAAATCTGATAAGACTTGATGACCTTTTCATGAAACACATTCAGATGTGAAATATTGATGTGTTTTGTTTCTTAAGAATTTTGAATGAGATGAAGACAGTCCAGAGCCTCCTGCCACCAAACAACACAGCCCAGGCCTACATTTCTGGCCTCATTAACATCACTCACTTCATCTTGGAGTCTGGCCAAGGCAAGTCAGCTTCTCTGTGTCACTGTAGGTGGACAACATGTTGAATCCTGACAAACTCTGATGGAGTGGAGGTCACATTGTGCAGTTCATTATTCAAGCATTAGGACAGCTGAAGAGCTGTGGATTAAAGCAGCACAATGTTTTTGTTGTCTGCTGTAAGAATAAGATGCTTCACTCCTAGGTTCACTCAGGGGATTTTGTTTGTGTAGTTGAAATTTAGGTCCACTTTGTGAACAATATTTCTTGTGATTTCAGGCAACATGAGCCTCTGGGCAAGTTTTGAGTCTGCATCACTAACAGATTTGCCCATGATTACTGGCCAGGTAAGGCTTAAACACGTCACGTGTTTAAGAGAATTTAATAATTTAGTTTCTCCTTATAATTATGTTCAGTGTGAATTCATTTTGTGGAAAATGCATGCTAAAGATGACATTGCATTAAAAATAAGACGTGGATAAAACATCTCAGTTTCATCTCTGTTGATACTGGTGCTGTTGGCCAACGTCATGTTCCAAACCACAGATGTGTTGAGATAAGTTGGTTATGAGGTTATTTATGTACAGCATCATTTAGCATCATAGGCAGACACAAATATGATCTTATCATTTATCAAAGTTGTGTGCACTTAATATTGTTGAATTCTGCATATGAAATATGTAACCTATTTTCCTAATTTCTTCTAATTTCATGGTCAGGTGGGAAAACTATTGAGCATGCTTTGGCCTCTTCTCATGGGTGGCCTAAACTCACAGGCAACTACTCCATATCTGGAGGACTTGGCTAATCTTCCTTTACTCCTGGAGCAGCTAATGAGTGCCTACCTCCCCAACATTAATAATATCACCCAGTCCCTGAGCAATGCCCTAATGGTGGCAGAGCAACCAGGTGGCCTACAGAGTGACCACTTCTTAGTTGCCACGTTGGAAGCAGTCCAAAGTGCCATGCAAATCCTGACTGAAGCCACGGGCCCCCTGCCGCTCTCTGTTCAGCAGAACATCCTTGAAATTGTGCGGGACTCAATTAAGCTCCTTGTTCAACCAGATCTAAGTTTTGCCTCGTCGCGCAACATCTCCCTCGTCATCCTTAACAAGGCTGAGAGCATCATCCAAGAGACAATACCAGAAATGCTTGCTGTGTACCTCCTTTCTGGACTGAAAGTTGCAACCACATATTTTGAGACCATTGTGGCTGCCAGTGGACCAGACAGCTGGAATCAGATGTGAGTGATGCTTAAATTTTCCTAATACTTCAACAGACCAAATTACTACTTTGCCATAATATGTTATACAGTTGAAAAAGGCTTGAAATGAATACCCATCAACAAATGTCCATGCAGAAACGAACAGAAACAAAAATATTATATTCATAATGTGAATTATAAAAAATCATAAAAAAAATTTCACCGTCACTGTAAAGTCACTATCCACAATCAGAAATGATAAACTAGTTAAAATGGTGCTCCAGAATAAAAATCTTTAACAGGGGTTTGGCTTCTATTGAATATTGGATATTTTGCTAATGCTAATCTGCAGGATATGCAAGTAAGCTAACAAGTTTGTCATGTCTACTTTAAAAGGTGATAATGTTGGTTTTCTGTTTACAGCTATGGTCAAGCATTCTGTTTGTGCATATGTTATAGGGAAATAGACTTTGTTAAATACTTTTTTCATCCGTATTAAAGAGGTCAAACAAGAGGTCAGTCCTCTGTTTTAAAGGTGCTTTTGGTAGTACTGTCTTACATATGGTCAATGGAAAGTAAAAAAATAGTCAGTCGATAATGAAAAAAAAAAACCTGTGAGACATGATGACCTTTTCATGAGACTCGTTCGGATGTGAAATATTGATGTGTTTTGTTTCTTAAGAATTTTGAATGAGATGAAGACAGTCCAGAGCCTCCTGCCACCGAACAACACAGCCCAGGCCTACATTTCTGTCCTCATTAACATCACTCACTTCATCTTGGAGTCTGGCCAAGGCAAGTCAGCCCCCCTCTGTCACTGTAGGTGGACAACATGTTGAATCCTGACGAACTCTGATGAGGTCACATTGTACACATCATTATTGAAGCGTTAATGCGAGATAACTAAAGAGCTGCGGATCAAAGTAAAACAGTGTTTTTGTTGTCTGAAAAATAAGTAAAATGTAAAAATAAGATACACTTCACTCCTAGGGTTACTCATAAGATTTTGTTTGTACAGTTGAAATGTAGGTCCACTTTGTGAACAGTATTTCTTGTTATTTCAGGCAACATGAGCCTCTGGGCAAATTTTGATTCTGCATCAATAAAAGATTTGTCCATGATTACTGGCCAGGTAAGGCTTAAAACACTGTCACATGTGTGTATGAGAAGTTAATAATTTTTTCTCCTTTTAATTAAGTTTAAGTTTATGCATGTTAAATATGACATTCCATTAAAAATAAGACGTGGATAAAACATCTCAGTGTCATCTCTGTTGATACTGGTACTGTTGGCCAATGTCATGTTCCAAACCACAGATGTGTTGAGATAAGTTGGTTATGAGGTTATTGATGTGCAGCATCATTTAGCATCACAGGCAGACAAAACATGATCTTATCATTTATCAAAGTTGTGTGCACTTAATATTCTTGAATTCTGCATGTGACATATGTAACTCTTTTTCCAAATTTTTTGTCAGGTGGGAAAGCTCTTGAGCATGCTTTGGCCTCTAGTCATGGGAGGTCTAGGCTCACAGACGACTGCTCCATCTCTGCAGAGCTTTGCTCATCTTCCTTTAGTCCTGGAGCAGATGATGACCGGGAAGGCAAACAAAACCATGTGGAACCAGTACGTTTACCACTTGTAATGTAAACAAACCAAACAAGTAATTATTTGGTGCTGGTTAGATGGCACATTAGTGTTGAACTACATAACTTGTACATCTGTGTGAGTTGATAGAAAAGTTAATTTATTTATTTTTACTTAAGACTGTTATTCAGTGGCTTCTTGCCCTAAACTGAATGCCATGTGTTTTCTCACAGACTTGAAAAGATGCTATCAAGTTATTTGCAGATACGTGGAACAAAAATGTGGGAACCGTCTGTTATTCCACTGATTGAAAAAACTGTTGGAAATACAGTAAACAGCATGCAAGCAGAGACTGGTAAGAACACTACTGAACAGGTATTGTGTGTATTATTTGCATAGCCTGGACAAGGATAGAAGGAACAAAAGTCACTGACTAAAGGAAGAATTGCTTCATATGATCAGTGCATGTAAAATATTAAACACAGATGTCATCTTTTGACTTGGTTTGGTTATACCTTGCAAAGCACACCTTTCACACCATGACACACCCCTAAACTGGCTAACTCTTCGGTATGTGTGTGTGTCTGTGGGGGGAACTGTCAATGTGTGTGGGATAAAGGTCAACACTGCAGTCCGATGGTGTTTCTACAGCGATTCAAAAAACACCTTTCAGGGTGCAGTACCTCTTTAATGGATCAGTATCAGCTATACCTAGCCATATCCCATCCTTTGTTTCACTTCAGTTGAACACACGGGTGTTTTATGGATGGATGGGTACATCCATCGTCAACTCTCTCTACTGTCTTCCCCACTCTGATGAGCTGTGTGTGCAGAAGCTTGAGCTCGGAGGAGGAGGAGGAGGAGGAGGAGGAGGAGGAGAGACAGAGAGCGGTGGAGAGCTGCACATTCACCACACAGTAATTTATTAATGTAATCCACTCAAAAGATGTACAGATGATGATAATAAACACTCAACACAATACAGATCATCAGGTAATTTAGGCAAAGGCTGAACCAAAGAAAGAAACACTGCAGGACACATTTAAGGGGAGAGAAAAATTCCCTCGAGACACCAACAAGACCAAAAAAGATTACAAAGAGGCTTTGTTTGGCTGTTTTATAGCCGACTTTGTTATTCTGTGAATAATAAAAAAAACATTAAGGTATCGGGTTGGGACTAAGTATCAGAAGACACTCAATATAACTCAGATTGGAATCGGGAGCAACTTTATCGGGATATCCCTATCTTATACCATTTCATATTTAACATACATACCGTGTTTTTGTACTTGTGTTCCCCCCAGAGCTGATACAAAGCCTACAGATGCCAGTGGTGACCCTGATGGAAGAAGTTGCACAGTCTGTGAACACCAGTCATTTTAACTTGTCTGAAGTCGTGGAAAGAATGCCGCTTGCTATTGAACGCACCATGCAGGCAGCTCAGCAGGTTAGACTGCCACTGTTCTCCTCTGATAACATTTGTACAGACTCAGTGTCATCACAGTCATTTGCTGGCCTTTTGTTGTGGACCATGTTTGCGTGTGTGTGTGTGTGTGTGAGAGAGACAGAGAGAGGGAGATAGAAAGGATAGCTGTACTGTTGCATTAATCTTCATGCATTATGGCCATTAACAATACCAATCTTTCAATGCCTATCTCTGATGTAAGAGCACGTGTAGGCGTGTTGTTCTTTGTAAGTTTGGAATCTGTCAGTTTCACCTGCCTTCGTAGGCATTTGCATGCGTATTTACCCTTCAACAAGGCTTTTGACAGACAACAATCTCACACCAGATCACAAATAGCATGTGGGTATGACTGGTTATCCCTCTGAATGACTTTATCAATGTGCAGCTGTCAGCTTGATGTTGGTGGAGTTTGTTACTTAAATTATTTATGCCTCATCCAGAAGTAAGTGTTAAGAAACATTGCTTTTGGTGACACTGATAGAAGGCCATCTGATCTACATTGTAATGGAAAAAAACACAGACAAGCTGAAACAACTTTAGTGCTTGTCAGATTGTGTCACATATGCTTCCGCAAAATAGATCCTTAGCCACAAATTGGCAGGCTGATACTGACAACATTGCCTTATCACAGATAAATCACTATCAGTATTTATGTTGCCGTGCAAAACAAAAAACAAAACAAGCAAACAAAACAGCAGCATATTGAAAGGTGTAATGTTTTGTAAACCCTCAGTGATACACCTGACACATCTGTCTGGTCTATTCATAAATTACTATTAAGATAAGTCATCACCTCTGACAGTGTTAATTATAGCCTTTATAAATATAGGATTTACTGCCAGGCTCATTTATCTGATCAAGTCAAGTCAAATTATACTGGCCAAAAACAACACAGATCACAATTTATTGGGATCTTAGTTTGATTATCGATTGACTATGAAGATTATCTTTAAACCTACGAATAAAAAAATACTTGGAGGGGATTCTTTAAGACAAAATCCTCTCAAATTCATGATGTATGGTGTAATGTTCATTCATTGACATGAAAGTTTGGGAACCCCTGACTAGTAAACTGGTAAATTTGCTATGTTTTGTTATTTAATGGAATAGTTTGACATCTTGGAAAATCTTTTTTGCCAATACATGAGAAGATTGAAACTACTTTCATGATTTTACAATAAATATGAAGCTACAGTATCACCCGCAGCCTTTTAGCTCTGCAAGACTTGAAACCAGGGAAAGGGCTAGCCAGGCTCTGTACAAAATCTCACAATGAACATGTTACATCTCATATGTTTAACTTTTAGAAAAACTAATTTGTAGAAATGACAAATTACCGCCGTACAATCACAACTTGTTAAAAAAACGAGCTGCTTATTTACGGCACAGACATCAATCTTCTCATGTTTTGGCAAAGCAAAAAGGTGTATTTGTCAAAATGTCAAAATATTACTTAATTTACTTCAATCTGCTGTTCAAAACCTACAAATACATTTACAGTTATTTTCATGTTTATTAATCATATTATCTCACCTCAGTAAATTTGTCATGTATTGTATCAGTATCAGATGGGCTGTAATCCATACCATGATGAAGGTATACTGTAGTGTAGCAGAACATTATTGCTGTGCTTTGTCATGTGTATACCTTGGAGAGAACCTTGTTACAACCTTTCTGGCTCTATAGCTGATTTACTGCTTGTGCGCAAACATTGTGTGCACATATGCTGTATGTATGGAAATGTATCTGGAAGTCAGTCTTTGAGAAAACATAATACCTGTGTGAGACTTTTGCCCTTTTATTTTCCTCTCTGTAAACTGCATGAACAGAGAGATTATGTTATTTCCCACTTGCCTTTGCCTTTTCTCTGAACAATGCTCATGAAACACAATAAGACATTTGTCTTTTTGTTTACATCTTTCCCTCTAGGCTAATGGTACGTTGGAGTGCGCTGAAGTTCTCAACGCATGGGAGCCAGTAAGAGAGGCAGGGGAATTAAGCCATGGCGCCTTGGCTATGTGGTGCAATATAAACCTGCAGCCTGTTTTAGAGGCCTATAATGCACTTGCGACCCCCATGAACATGAGTGTGAGTATATGCATGCCAAATTAAATAGGACATCGCAGACTAACATAGATAGAAGGGCATATTCTGAATTTGTTTATCAGATCAGGCTAGAATGTCCACTTATTCAACTACAGTTAACATTTTCACCACTTGGTGGCAGTGTTGACACACAGAGAAAGCTGCCACACTGCTAACAGTCCATCTCTGCTGTATGTTGTCTGCACAGCACATGGATGTGGCACCAGTGACTGTGAATGCCACAGCTTCCAGACTTGTTAAGATTGTACAATCTATCTACCAAGTCATCATTAACCGCACAGTTGTGACAGAGCACCTCATCATGACTTTGACCAGCCAGCTCTCTGCGCTGACAGACCAGCCACTGAGCCCCGAGGCACAGCATCAGTGGTACAACCAGCTCCAGGACATGCAGTTGCAAAACAGGTGAATATTTGGGCTTACAATCAGATTATGCCATGGCTAACATGATGTGCTTTTCAAAAGGTTATTTGTAGTGAACGTGGCATCCCAGATCTGTGTGATTATAAAGAGAACACTGTTTTATTTCAAAGCCTGCTGAAAAAAACACCATGCATGAGGATAAATCCACCATAGCATACTCTTTTTTTTTTTTTTTACCAACAGACGCTTTAGTAGAGCAGACAGACCAGACCACACTGAAACCACAGGATATGAGCACAGTACAAGCAATAATAGCAAAATGTATTGCAATCACAAAACGGAACCCACTGAACATTAGAGCCTCGTCGTATTTAACAATCTGAGTGGACAAATTTTCTGCGCATTTCCCTTTAATTTTGTCAAGAGTCAGTTGCATCGCTACACAGACCCCTACTAACCTATGCATGAACTCACTACTCCATTTGTTGTTACATTATCCACAATGCACCAGTCAGGCCAATTTGATTCATACATAATTACACAAGGAACTGGAGTGATCACATTTGCATTCGACTTGAATAATTTAATGCAAGTCTGAAAAAACAGGCAGACCTGCTCAGATAGCGGCTTAACCATGATTCTGCTAGCCTAGACATCCTCTTAAAATTGATTTCCCTTTATACGCCAGCTGCAATAATGAGCCGGGCATGGTGATAAGGATCACATTCTGCATATCGCAGGGAATCAATCAGGTCTGACTACATGAGTTATAGATCATTGATCACAGTGGAAAGACTCCATGGTCTATTATCGAGGAAGAAATGGGAAAACTGAATGAAGAAATATTACTTCTGGTCACAACTGAGAAATTAGAATTCTATGAAATCATTGTATTGTGAAAATGAATCAAAAACATGGCATGAAAGAACTTGGGGAGAATTAGTCCTTGGTTTATTATTTTATTCAAGTTCTTACAATCGACTGAGTTTTGTTCTGTTCATGTTGATATTTTTAACATGAGACTATAACTTGACATTTGTTGAATTTTTTATCCTCTTCAGTTTATCTGCCATCAAATTGCTCTCAGACGAGCTCCTCAGTGTTACTCCATTCCTCCAGCCTTACATTAAACCTATAGAGAAAACTCTGAGTCACATCCTGGAGAACTACCATCTCATTCAGGACAGCAGCTCAGCCCAGGATGTCTTCGGAGAAGCAGCAATGATCCTCCTGTCCTCTGCTAACATCACCGTGGACGACATGTTCTCCATGATGTGGGGAAATTTTTCTGGAATCAATGACGCATCTGTCACTGGCATGATAAGGGATGCCGTCAAACTGATGATTGACATGAAGATATTCGGGGATGCGCCTGTGGTTTACCAAGCGTTGGAGCAATTTCTGGCATTCAAAAACACAAGCTTCATTGTGCAGAAGTTGACCGAGATGGCTGCATGGTTGTCTTCCACTGAAGCGTCTGGACTGGACCTGCTGACTCAGGCTCTGCCCAAAATCTATGACATCCTCAGGCCTCTCTTGTCTGTTTTTACCCAGATGGGTATGGACATGGAACCAAACATGGAGCTGTTTACAGACCTAGCTGGAAACATAATTGCAATGTTGAGGCAGCTGGTAAGCACCAGTGGTCTTCTTGCCCCCATGGATCACCATCCGATGTTTCAACACGAAATGACAGGCGGCAACCATACGATGAAGGGCCACCGGCGCAGACGTGAGGCCCTGTTGATGCCTCCAAGGGACCCCATGGATGACTTCATAGACCTGTTCTACATTGACTACCCTGCCATGTTCAAAGCCATCTCTGTCCCTCCTACCACAACAGAAATTATGGAGACAGTCCATGTGTTCTTTGGCAATCCTGATCTGAATGTTGTGGTGAAAGGAGCAACTAACAACATGCCATGGGGCTTGAATGCCTCTCGGGAAGAGACCGTTGATGCTGCCCTCGGGATGCTCACCTTCTTCACTCTCCCTGGTGCAATTCAGATGTAAGTCTTATTTACACTAGCCCAAACATGGATTTAGGAATGAGAAAAAAAGAAAGCACCCTTTTAGCTTCAGATATGAATTCACCCCAACATCTAAAAACAACTGCTTTGAATCATGCCTTTTTGTCTTGTTTTTCACCATTATGTTACTCTGTTGGCCTCTGTTTCATAACAGTCCTTGTTCAATCTTCCCCAGGTCATCAATGGATCTCTTGATGAGTGCTGCTCATATTCTTCCTGATGGCTTTCCATTCTCCGCGTTGCTGAAGAATATAACCACAGCACTTGCCAGAGAATCTCAAGGTAACAGTTCAGATCTACCTTCTTTCAGAGTCAGTCTGGACATTTAGAGGCCTCCTGGACCGAGGGCAGCTTCGTAATGAGAAATGTGCACTCATTAGTTAAATGGAGGATCCCCAAATGAATGATGTAATCCTTTTAGTTTCTCTAAATTAACTTTACCTTCTGACTCCTCAGTGAAATCCCTCCCACTCATGCTTAGTCTAATTGCTGTACTGTAGAGCTCACACTGATGCTACAGCTTGTGTTTGCATACCTGCTGTGACAATATGTATGTATAAGCACAGTCTGTCAGCCTGTACCATTAAACAGCGACACAGCATGGAGGAGTGCCACCTTTTTCTCTGACCTTCATAGCTATTGCGGGACCATGGGAAGACCATAAACCGTTTTGTTAATGCTGTTGTTGTTGTATACATGATTATAGCGCAGCATAATTCATTCTGGAGATATGAGGAATAAGACTTCACATCGGCTTAACGTGAGCTCCCAAAGAGCCCAAGGCCATATGGCCCTTCTCCAGCAGAAAGCCACTCAGCACCTTTTTAAATCTCATTAGCAAAGTAGAATTCAATCACTTATCCCGTCCGCCCTCGCTAAACGTCTCCCCTCGCACTCACACAAGTGGACATCTATGACCTCCTTTTAATTGGCGTCTGTGCTTGTGTGATAATGTTTTTAGTGCACAGAATCTCTTTGTAAGCAGCAGCAGCTTCACTTTTCTGAAACCCCACTCATATTCTTCACACACATACACCCAGAGTGAGCTGTTGTAATTGCAAGGGCCTCTAGGTGTTGAGCACCCTGAGATTAAACATCACCATTGTCTAATTTTGGCCTAATTAAATATTCTGTCATCACATCTTGTTGCCTGAGGTGGGGACTTTCTTAGGGCTTGTCAGATGTGTTTTAATGCACGACAGCATCTAGTACTGCTGGCCCCTCTGGCCCCATCAGTCCCGCACAGGGCTTCACTTTAAGCACATCATTTGCTGTTCGCTGCCTGATGACGCTGCCCCGTAATGGTGCGAGCCGTAATGAAGCCCAGTGGGATGTCATGTTATTCTGTCACCTTACAGACCTTATTGCCCTCTTTTCTCTTTTCCATCCCATCTTCCTGTCTAACTCTAATAACCTCTTTCTTACCCTCATTTTTCCCCCTCTCCTTCCCTCTCTCCCTCCCTTTACAGAGAACCTGATCCTCATGCAGCAGACCATCCAAACAGCCGCTGAGCTTTTCCAGATCAGCCCGACAGATCCGCAGTTCTCACAACAACTTGGCCACCTGAAATCCCAGGTCTCTGCGCTGACCCTGCCACTTTCACACATTTATCATTCATCAAAATTGGAAACATATTACTTCATTATGTCAGAAAACCCTGGCAGGGTTCATTAAGTGTTTTAATAGAAGTGTGTTAATATTATGATACTGTGTTGTTTGAAAGTGTCCACCACCCAGTGTGGTAGTGGCAGTAAAATTTGAGCGAGATATATCTGCAACATGAACATGAATAGGCAACAAAAACAACACAGATTAGACTTTGGTAACAGTTTGAAAGTTTGTAGGTTGACAAGGATTGTGATATGTTTTTGATTAAATTCCCAAAGCTATTATTTGTTGCCAGTGCCAAAAAATCTGCAAATAACAAATTGCAAGTATTCAGTGTTTTGCTCAGACCTGAAGGGAAAGGCTGAAAGATGGAATCATCAGCACTGAAACATTTCAGAAAACCCCAGATTAATCAAATTATTTTGTTTGATTGATTTTTGGGGCACGGTGAGGGAGCTTTTTTACAGGCTCTAACCCTAGAAGTCCTAAAATAAACCATTTATTAAACACAGTATGACTAACCAACCAGTCTTGAGATTTGTCCAGAAACTACTTATGGTGCTTACGTGACTGATGTTTTCGTAGGTGTGCACCTTGGAGAACACAGAGTCGGTGCATCTGTTGATAGTGGCCCTCTCCATCGAGCCTGGTCAGCTGTGTAACACTTTCCTACCTAGCCTCCAGATCTTGGTCGAGAGTCTGATGATGAACGTGACCGCTCTGACCGATGCCATCTTCCAGGCCGTCATTGGAGACCCTAGAACCTACAATGTCCAGTCAATTTGGTACAGCACTGTCTCCTTCTTAAAGGCTTTTTGTTTACGTTTGTACAGAGGAAGCTGCTCTCGTTATCATCTAGATCTTTACCTCTCTTATCCCTTTTGTATAATTTGCTAAATAGTATCAGAGAGTGGTCCGGGCTGTTGCACTTTACAGAACTCACCTTACAGGATTAGGGGTATTAGAGGGTATTGAAGTTTGCAAAATGAGGCAGTTACCTCTTGTTGTTGTTAGGGGCCAATAAGCAAAGTTACCTTGCACTGATATAACTGAATTTTCACCTCAGCCCATTTCGCCTGCAGCACGCCTGGCAGCATTTTTTTTTTTTAAACGAGCCAAGGCTTCTTCTAAAGAATATATCTTTGTATATTTCTTGTTAAAAGTGCATTTATCTGTTTGTGTCTTATGTTTCTCTCTGTGTGTATTTGCATGCATGTGTGTATGTGGATACAGGAACTCTGAGCTGACTCAAGGTTTCAGCTTTAACACCAGCAGCCTGCGCTCTCTCAAAGTTAACATCACTTCCCCAGGTGAGACATTTTTCTATATCACAACAGTTACTGTATTTCACAACATCATATTATATATTCCTGCACCACTACTGCACTGTTTATAGTAGACCTACCATATATTCCCCACATTCCTGTTTTTCCCACTACACAGATTGTGTTTCTCCTGGCTGATTTTATTGTTTTGTGTACAATTTCTTGGCTGGCTAATTATGAATAAGAAAAAGGATGGAGACACATAAAAGAAGTAGAGTTTATATCCAAAATGATATACATACAGTACATTTTGAAAGACTGAATATATATTAATTTTGAAAATAAAAAACTATGTACAGTAGTTATTGTGATCCAAAACATATGTTTTAAACTGTCCAAAATTCTGATTTCGGTTTGTGGTTACTTTTATATTAAAAGGGCACTGCCTGATGTGCTATCAGTAGAAAAAGCAGATCAAAAACCTTGTTTCCATAACAACAGATTGCTCTTTTCAGCTCACCCGTTGCTCACTTGTGTCTGATGCCACCATTTTGCTTATTGCTGGATTATCTAACAATAATACCTTATTACAGCAGCCAATTTCTCCACTGTCACTTTGTCTATAATTGCTCTCAAACAGCAGCCAGGTGTAGCTTTTGTATGAAACTGGTATTGGCAACTGGCAATTAAAAAAAAAAAGAAGGCTACATGTGAACACACCCTGAGGCGGCTGTTGCAACTATTTTAAAGCAGGGAATGCAATCGGGATGCTTTTACATTCAGAAATAATTTAAGACACCTGCTTGAAAAATTTTGTGAAAAAAATGCAACTGGAAGCAAAAATAATTCTTAGGTGGTTTTACAGGCTGTTTTTGTATAGTTTTCACCATTATAGAAGTGAAACTAGATAATAAGAAATTATAATAATAAATAAATGTTTCTGCTTACACTTATGTCACTTTATTTCGCAGGAATGGTGACAGTCGGTGAGATCCTGAGAAATAAAACAGCCTTCTTTGTGGATGTTCAGCAACACATGGATTATGACCCAGCGGCTCTCAACCTCCTGTTGGAAACCACTCTACCAAACAACAATTTAGTGGTGAGCCAGTGATGTTCTTACTATGTACCCACATATAGCGTATAGTGTGCAATCAATCATTTAATCACTACCTCACTCAATTTGAAGACAAAGTTTAATGCTCGGCGTCTGCAATATTGCACAGAAATCCCCCTACTACATTCTTCACAAAACAATGTGGAACAAGGTCAATGCTGGTTTCCAGGTCTGTTTCTAGGTTGTTGCTCTCATGAGATGTATTCTCTTGAAGAGAAGTATTTCTACAACCTCAAATCAGTGCCATATCCCAGTGGTGGGAGAAGTACTCAGATATTTCACTTAAAGGACCGGTGGTCCAACATGTAGGAGGATCTATTGGTAGTAATGTAATGTAGTATTCATAGATATGTTTTCATTAGTGTATAATCACCTAAATACAGGAAATGTTGTGCATTCAAAGTAAGTTAGTAAAGGTACATAGTATTAACATCAAAATATACTTATCAAAGTACCAAAAGTTCTCATTATGCATCACGTCCCACTTCAGAATAATTAAATTACTTGAATGTAATTATTGATGAATTAACGTGTTAGCATCACTAATGCAGCTGATAAAGCTGGAGCTAATTTGAGCTACTTTATGTACTGCTGGGTAGCTTAATCTATAGTAATACAGTTGATTTACATATTGTATTAATAATTAGAATCTGCAAAGTAACTAGCAACTAATGTTGCAAAATAAATTTGGTTAAGGAAAAAGTACAATAATGTCTTCCAAAAACGCCATTCTTGCCAAGTATTCAGAGCAGCAAGTTTTTTTCACTAAATGAAGGGGGAGATCAAACCCACCACATTCCAAAATGCCACACTGGATCAGGGATTTTGGAAGCCTATTTACCATAAAGCTTAAGGTGAACAGTCTGAAAGTAGGAATTTAGTATCAGTGATCTAAATTCACCATAAGAGCATGTTTATACCTGTCTGTAGTTCCTTTACCTTCTCCTGTGCTTCTGTTGCCAGTAATAACTGTTTCCACACTCTCTTAATGCTTTTGAAACAGATCCTGTCCTGGTTGGTCAACCTGCGTCACTGCAACTCCACACCATTCATGAACATGAAAGAGACGGACGTGGCCATCTATAGGACCTTTTGCTCCATGTCTGTTGAACAGTGGTACAGCTTCTCAATGCTGATGGCTCGCCATCTCAACATGGAGAAAGTCATCTACAGAGTAAGACAGAATTCAGTCTTTTATCAAAAGAAAAATAACATGCTACACTTTCTTCTAAAGTTAATACTCTTTTCGCCACTTTGAAAGAAAAAAACAACAACCAAAGAATAAGAGAGTTTGGTGATTGCACATTGTTCTGTATTGGCTGAATTGACAAAGAAATCGTTTCTGTTGGGCAGTTGCAAAACACGTTTGATGCTGCAGTGTGTTTGTTTGAGGAACATGTAAGTCAGAAAGAGATGCTTTTGTCCTTAGACAAAGCTCTGTCTCCCTCATACATAAAAAAAAAAAAAAAACAGTTTTTCCATTTGATCTAAGAAAACAACCACTGTCCATCCCAAAAACTCCAATAAACCATCCATATTTATATGTATATATGTATTGAAATGACGCTTGTAGAACACGTGTAGGTGTAGATCAGCTCTAGTTACCTAGATACAGTGATTAAAAAACCATACCAGCAGGTTTATTTCATAGGACTCTGTTTTATTTCAACATTTGTTGTTTTGTTGTCCTAATTGGGGTTTTTGACATGCCTTTTGATTGTAATCTAATTTCATCACCTACAGATGTACATACTCCTACTTAGCAACGATATAAGGATGGCAAGTAAACCTGATACAGCCATCCTGCAGTTGAAACTCTGCTGCATCCGTTTCAGTGCAACGTAATTTGCAACATAATTTCAATGCAAAAACAATGTGTTACCTTTCATTATTGATTGCTTGATTCTCAGCTGTAGTAAGCTGAAAGGATCAAATGACTAACTATAATGTAAAAGGCGTCACTTGCGGTGATGAAGCCACAGAATGTTAGTTGCCCTCAGCTCTTTTAGTAAGTTTCAGCTCATGGTTTTGGTTTTAAGGTTTGCAACTTTACTGTTTGAGTTAATTTTACTTCTGTGAGAATAGTTTACACACATAGTGGACAGTGGTAGGCCCCACTGTATGCTGCCCGCCAAGAGGCTGATATTTCCCTCAGGAGTTGGTGAAGGCCAAAGCGGAGCTAAAAGGAGAGTAAATATCGGATTTACATTCTCCAGGTGGCCGGAAACACAACTCCAAATTAATTTTACGTTTGCTCTGTGGATGTATAAATAAGCAACTATAAAGCTGCTATAAAGTTTGCCTGAGTAGCTGTAAGGTGATAATATGTCATTGTTGTGTTTACAGCTTGTTTGCGCTGCTTGTTATTTATATTTGTCACCGGCATGTCGAGGTGAATGTTTCTTATTTGTTTATTGCATTGCTGATGATCTAATTTGAGCTAACAGAGCTTTTTACTTGATAACCACCTGACACCAGTAAACTAAGACAGTATATAGTTAGGCTAAGTGTTGGAAAGACATCTTTAGCTGCTTTGTTGAATTTTATTGTAGCATATTGTTTCCTGGTAATTTAGCTCTGCTCTAAAAGTGTGCACAGTTAAAATTAGAACCAAAAAACTATTTGACCAACAGAGACTAGCAATAGTTAATAATAGCCTCTAAAGTAATTTAATATATAAGCTGAAACAGCTTTTTTATGTATCTTGTTGCCTTGCCTGAATCAACCAAATTATTTTTATCTAGACTGAGAAGAAGAATAAAGTGACAAGGACAGAGAAGAAAAAAAGTGCCAAATGCTGCAATATGCTCAAAAATAAAAAGTGAAACTGTGACTTTGCAGCAGTGAGGGATATTCTTAGAAAGGCATTTTTCATTCTGAGGAATAGCCTCTGCTGTTTAATCACTTTGATTCAAATTGGTGACAGAGCTCTCTGTTGCTGTCTTCCACGACACACAACCTTTAGGTTTAAAAGAGATCTGCAAGATAAAGCAATGCACGACAAAGGAAATGTGATCTTTGGAAACATAAAAAATGCACTTATAAATAAAACTATAGGTATACTGTCCTTCTTTATTTGAAAAGTGTGCTGAAATAACTTTTGTTATAAATTGGCGCTATACAAATAAAATTGAATTGACTATAGAAACATATTTTCTTTCCTTCAGATGGTGTTGTCTGAAGACATGCAGAGCATGGTGGGAGTCATGCTTCAGGTGGCTAAGGTTCTAACCAACATGATGAACACGTTTCTTCCTGCCATCAGTCAGCTGCAAAACTACCTGCTCTCCATCAATGACCTCAACCTGGTGGCCAACAACGAATTTAATGAAGTGTGTAGTCATTACTATATACTATACAGTGCTTTACCCTCAGTGTATTCGTGTATGTATGTTTGTGTGAAACTATACTATAACAAAAATGAGGAAGGGAAATGCTTCAGTACTCAAAAATATTCCTGTGAGCATACTCAAACAACTTTAAATTGTTCTGCTGAGGCTTGTTTTAAATGTTTTATTGAGGGCCCCCAGCTGGTATTACATGATGCCTCAAATTACATGACAAATACTATTCAAAGTTTCAGAAATCAAGTTTAAAATCTAAACTTTTCCCCAGATGACGAGAGGATTGAGGAGCAGCATCTCTACCAAAGCTACATTTGTCACCCTCTCTCGAGCGTTGTGCAGTAACGGTATCATGGCTCTGTTTGGAATCTCCCAACTCCCCATTGGGTCGGAGTCAAGCCCCTCCTTCCCCGACGACCACAAGAGGGAGGAGATGATCGAGAGGTTCAAGATCCCACGAAATGCCAGTATGTTGACAGCGCAGTCACCATTCTTAACTATATTTGATCTTGATATCCAGTGTTTTTAACGAGATTCCATTGGTATCAAAAGCATTCATCATTAGTATTATGTAGTAAAATAGTAAAAGCAGCTACCATATAATGAACAAGAAATAACTAATAGCTAATGATAGATGCACATCAAAGAGACATTTTACGTCGTAGTGTTTCTATTTGTCTTCTTATCCTGAATCACAAATTTGGCAGGACATTTTAACCAGGAAAGGAAATATGGAGTCACAGATGATGGCTATTTACCACCTTCACTAGACTTCCACTAAACTCTAGGAAGATAATAAGTTTAGTCTCACTTCACAATTCCTAAAGGAATGAGGATTAAAGGATAAGGCTGTTGATATTCTATTTTTCTTGTCATCAGCAAATCCCATGAAAAGGCCAAAACTAACAAATTAACTGATCCTATCACAAAGTATTGTTGAAACAACATGACCCTTTATACAGACTTATACATTGTTGGTTTTGGTCTTCATACAATAACACCAGCCTTATTGTTATCCTCAGAATTGATCCTCAGCCTGTCTAAATATTTGTGAATGCTGTAGGTCTAATGGTTCTCTTCTCTTCTCTCCTTGTATAGCTCCTTTCTGCATGAACATGTACCTGGACATGGTCAACACCACAGGAGGAGCCATTGCCTGGGCCTTCCTCAAACCAATGCTAATGGGACAAATTCTATACACCCCTGACACACCTGTCACCAAGGCCATAATGGAGAAGGTATAATACATACAGCATAAATAAAAACACACGCACAAGTTACCTCCTCTACACTTTTATTCCACCCACACACAAATCAAATGAATAATTATTATTGACATACTGTAACCAATTTGTGCAGGTTTGCTGGCTAAAGTAGTTAAATTATTTACTCAGCTGTATGCATCTCCACTTTCTTCTCTCATTAACTTCCTTTCTTTTTACACTCAAACCTGTCTTTTATGAACTTTATTTTCTAAATCCTCCGAAATCCCTAATCTGTCACGCTTTTACAGTATATAAGTTTTTGTCACAGCTATTTCCACCTCTTCTAGGCCACAGTTACCAGTTTAGTCTTCATGATAAGTAGTAAACAAGAAAAGCAGTGTTACAGGGGGTATACACATATTTGTATGCACCACCATCTTCTGCTGTGGTTCTATTTTGAGCAAGTTTGACTTTGTTTTTTGTATACTGCTGCCTTCACAGACTCAAACAGCCACACACACACAAATACAGCAGGTTATGAAATCTTGCTGATACCCAGCCATTTCACAAGTTCCTGTCCTTGTCTTATCCTTGTGCAGGCCAATGCGACCTTGCAGGAGTTTGCAAATCTGAGGAAGTACTCTGAGGACTGGATCGAATCCTCCAAATACATAATAAACTCTGCCCAAATACTCAGCAACACTTTGCCAATGCTGCAGGTATGAAGATGAACTACCTTCTGTATATCTGATTATTCCAGCTGACTCTTTGTCGTCTGAAAGTTTGGAGATAAACTTTGCAGTGGTCTTCAACGAGTTTTCGGCAGCTGAATCTTGATTGTGTATTGTCTCTTCCACTCTCCCTCCCCTCCTGTCAGAATTCCCTCGGCAATTCCTTTGTGAAGAACTTCATTGAGATGCAGACAGACATCAGTGTCGACAAAATGAAGGAGACGCTCAGCAACTTCTGTGAGTGAGCATTTGAAGGTCTTACTTTTGTAAGCTGCAGATACCAGGCTTACCTTTCTATTCCTCCCTCACTTATTGCTTGTAAAATATCCACGCTATCAGAAAATGGGAACGGCTTCGTGGATTTACAGGAAGAATTCCGCTAAGTTCAACTTGAATTTCTTAGGGCATCTCTCCTTGATGTGATTATGAATGTCAGTCATTTTTTTCCCACAGGGTCTGATTTTGACATACAGGTATTTAATTAGATTACCTTGCATTGTCAGAACATATTTCTATCTTAGTTAACATATGACATAACAAGACATGGCACTAAGACACAACAAATGGCATTATTTTAATCATATTAATTTTTTTATTTTAAATAATTAATTATATTTGGATTTACAGCAATCAAAGCTTAAACTGCAGCTGTCTGAAAAATGTCTTTTTCTTTTTCAAAGCTAACATGACGGTCATGCTGGAGAAAAACAAGCAAATACTGAATCAGATCACCACCTTGTCCACGCTGATGGTGGACCTCTCCTCCTGTATCAAGTTTGACCGTTACCAAGGCTATGACTCTGCTGACCAGCTCAACGCAGAAGCTCATAAGCTTGCCAAAAACCGAGATCTCTACGCAAGTGAGTAAATCTGGGGTATAATGAACTCATTCTGTCCTCCAGGTTGATTGGACAGTGCAACACGCATTTGAGACCTGCAATGGTTTCCAATCTGCTTGAGTGGATGTTGATTTAGGTCAATTTTTACTTCCTGACAGCTGATTGTGATTGCATTCCTTGACATGTGTATGTCAACTGAATTTACCTGGACAACTGTAATACAAGCATGTAAAAAGATTCATGATGCTGATTAATCTTTTTTTCCAGCCCAGTTTTACAACTAGCTAGATTGTTAATTTGCCTTTCATTGTGCTGCTCTACCTTTTCTGAACTTGAGTCTGTGCTAGAGTTTGTGGGTAAGATAACACCAAGGTTTCATGAGTGTAAACCCAGCCTGTGAAAGAGGCTTTCAGGAGATGCTTACTCGGCAATAGTTTATCTAGGGCAAGGAACTTAAGAGTTAGTCTGGTCTTTGAATTTTATCCTGAAGTATAAAACTTTGTGCAGTGAGATAGTACAATCTGTCTTCAAGGTGTCATCTTCAAGCTTCCCAAAGATGAGGACTCATCCAAGAAGCGTCAGGCCAGGTCTTCCTCCTCTACAGCCTCCCTGCCTCCCAAAGTCAGCTACACTATCCGCATGCACATGGACAACGTCATGCGCACTGACAGAGTCCGGGACCCCTATTTTGTGAGCGACCCGCACATCTCGGCCAGGCAGACGATGCGCTACAACCGGGGCTTTGTCTACCTGCAGGAGAACATCGATCGGGCCATCATTGAGACCCAGACTGGACAGAGGGTCACAGAACCGGCTGTCCAGCTGCAGCCCTTCCCCTATCCCTGCCACCTCCGGGATGAGTGAGTCCCCCATATACATGGATGCAGATACACACACACACAAACACACACACACACACACACACACACACACACACACACACACACACACACACACACACACACACACACACACACACACACTGTATGAACATGCTCCTGCATGGATGCATACATCATGAAAGGATATACATTGTCTTTCTGAGGGGATGTACAGGCACTGATGTGGAATAATGCATGCTCTCTCATTATTTATTTGCCACTTGGGACTGACAGTAAGTTCTCATTCACATTATAATTGGCTTGGCACCATGTGCATGAATATTCACCATTATTGTGCATTCATTTTTGAAGACAATACACACACATACACTCAAACGCCCTTCAGGCCTTAAATATAAGGAACACTACTCATCTTTGTAGTACATATCCAATCCAACATGAGTTTGGCATTAACTTGTGCATCGATACACTACATTGTTTCCAATAAATCATGCTTGAACGTAATGCCTATGTTTGCGCTTGGCCTCGAGCGCATCTTAAGACAGCTAAAATATCTCATCTAAGAAGCACCAGCGGGCCACTGTCTCTGGCTCTACCAACTGTAAGATATGATGATCCTCGCCTCTCCGTTGTTCTGATTTATTACTCAACAACACAATTCCTGACATGATAGCTGTGAAATATAGCTGTGTTGTAAGAAAAACAGAGAGCACTAAATTCCCATGTGTCAGGCACCAGATATGATTAGGTAAAAAAAAACTAAAATAAAATAGAGAGGCATTTATTTTGCGTAAATAATAGGAGGATCAAAAAGCAACTGTCAAAAATCCCCAAACCCTCCTTCGATTTTGCTCTTCCACCCTCTCATCTCTGTCTCTCTGTCAAGCCAGTGACTGAATGATAGGCCTTCTCATCCGCTGTTGTTGACAGTGATTGGATGTTAGGTTTTCTAGAAATTTAACTGACAGTTGGTCTCTCTGTATTCCCCAGGTACCTGGAGGCCATCTCTTTTGTCTTCCCACTCATGCTGATGATGGCCTGGGTGCTGTTTGTGGCTGATTTTGTGAAAAAGCTGGTGCATGAGAGAGAGCTGAGGCTGCATGAGGTAATGTTTTTTTTTGCCTCTGCACATTGAACACTGAGTTCTTGGTGTACAAAATATCATGTAGTAATATTTATTTTGTGTTTTAATTGACAAATACAATTGGCTATTGATGAACAGTTGACGGTGTCAGGAGTTTAGCCCCTAGTACCTCCATGTTTCATCTCTGCTGTAAAGATTCCTAAGCGCCCCTGGCAAGCTGGCACTGAATCTGTATTTTTTACTGACATTTCTGTCTATTCCCATCCATTGATATTGCTTTTCCCACAGTACATGAAAATGATGGGAGTGAACCCGCTCAGTCACTTCTTTGCCTGGTTCCTGGAGTGCGCCGCCTACCTGGTGTTGACCATCTTTATCCTCACGCTGGTGCTGAAGTACGGCCTCATCCTGCCCAACAGTGACGGCTTCCTCCTTTTCCTCTACCTCTGCGACTATGGATTGAGTGTCCTGGCCTTCAGTTACCTGGTCAGCTCCTTCTTTGACAAGACTTACATTGCCGGCCTCAGTGGCAGCCTCATCTACATCCTGTGCTTCTTCCCCTTCATTGTGGTCATGGCCGTGGAGACAAATCTCACCTTTTCCCAGAAGAGCGCCTTGGTAAGGAGCCTCTGAACCTCCTCTGTCATGACTCATATTAAACTAGTACTAGTACTGTGATATGTGTAATAGCTTAAAACAGCAAATAATGTAATTTGCTCTGGAAGATACTGAGAATTGAATGGAGAGATAAGGAACACAGAAGGAGATATTATGCCATTTCATTTTATTCCAAAATGTTATTTACTCTATCCATCTTAGAAAACAATTTTAAGTCTAAATAAACAGTGTCTTTCGCCTCCAGTTGTTTTCCATGGTGAGGTTTCATTTTTATTTTTCATTTCGAAGTAAGCAGTGATGCAGCTGTTTATTTCTGTTCGCAGGACACAGTTTTCCTGCCTTCTTATGCTGACATGAATTGTGAACATTTATCTAAAGAAAAATAGTGCTTGCTGTCTGCTGATCAATAATTAGAGGTCAAACATTTCTATTGTTATCCAACATACCATCACTGCGTACTTCTAAAGCTTTGTTGCTTTGAACAAAACTCTTCATATCACGTTGAGAAAGGCTTTTGAAGTATCACTTCATACTACACAAAGTTGTCAAGCGCGCAGAAGAGAGGAATTACAGAAAGGCACTGTGTGAAAAAAGAAGATTTATTTTTATTCTTTGTTTTTACTCTTTCTGTTTCTGTATCCTGTCTAATTTGTCTTTCATTTTCTTGCAGAGTTTGTTTTCCCCGACCTGTTTCAGTTACGCCAGTCAATATATCTCTCGCTACGAGGCCCAAGGAGAAGGTACGTGCATGTAGACATATCTGACTTGCATCAAATTAGATCTTTTTGACTAGAGCTGGTATAGTCACTCGGAAGCAAAATAAAATATTTATTTTTTTCTTGTACTTTTTTAGGCATTCATTGGAGAAACTCATACACCTCGCCCATACCTGGAGACACGGCTTCGTTTGGTTGGCTGTGCTGGCTGATGCTCATCGACTCCATCCTCTACTTCATCATTGGGGTTTACATCCGCATGGTCTTCCCAGGTAAACTATAAAATCATAGTCTTTATAAAAATGAAGCAGGTCTTCTTTGTGAGGTCATATGCTGTTGAAACTTGTTGGCAGTATTGTAATTACCATAACAATAATAGCATTAGCATGATAATATCTCTGACATTCCAACTCAATGGTGCACCCTAGCTATATTTGTAAAGTATATTTTAAATAATTTAAATAATTTTTTGTTTTTTTTATGATTGTGTTAACAACCCCTAGTTGAAGCAAATACAGAAGTTGATTGGTAAATGTGTCTTATAATAGTATTATATTATAGTATAAAAATGTTTAATGTATTAAAGAGAAGTCCCTGGTTATTTTTCACCCTTCAGGAAAGTACGGCATCCCTGCCCCGTGGTACTTCCCCTTCAAAGCCTCCTTCTGGGCTGACCTGTGCTGTTGTGTGAAGTCTAACACTAAGGTGGACAGAGGACTCCTCTTTGCCAACATCATGCAGAAAAACCAGCCTGTCTTCTCTGACGACAAGGGGAAAGGTACAGGAAAGAAAATGACATTGTGCTACCCAGATAACACTAAGAAATGCTGTCTCCTCTGGTGTGCTGTGTTTTGAAACATGGTGTCATGGTCTGTCTTTTTTTTTTCTAACCCAGACGCCTCAGTATTTACATTTCCCCCTCACTCTTAATTGAATTCCTCTCCCCTGTTAGTTTGATTTACAGGTTGCCTCTTTCTCCATGTTTCTTTCAGGCCAGAGCACTCTTTCCTCTCAGGCCGGTGAGGATTTCTCAGAGCTCCCAGTAGGCGTTGCCCTCCATGGTCTTGGCAAAATCTACGGCGACCGAGTGGCTATTCAAAATCTTAACGTTTCCTTCTACGAGGGGCATGTCACCTCACTGCTCGGTCACAATGGAGCCGGCAAGACCACCACAATGTATGTGTGGCAGAATGTTCTCAGTTTTCACTGTATAAGCACGTCCTAAGATGAATACAAATGCATTTCAGCCATTCATATACTGTACATGGTGTCTTTTAAATTTGATTTGTGCATCCCTTTAATCATCTCAAGGGCCTGCTGCTGACAGGGAGATTGTTTTGTCCAAATCTGGCACTGCAAATGCACCGTGATAGAGATTAGCCTGACGGGTCTTCATCAACTGGAGTACTTACATTTACATTTTAAATGTGACTAATTTTGCTGATGCTGTTATCCAGCGAGATGCACAATGAATGCGGCAGCAGAATAAGATTCAACAATGTTAAAAGCAACCAAAACCAAGATGGGATTTCATGTCCTATATTATTCTTGGGAGCAATAAATAATAATTTAAGAGGATGGTGCTGGGGAAAAAGTACAAAAACAAGCTAATGGGACAAAAATAATGGCATTTTCAACATTTTATGCCCAAGGTAGCAAATAGGAGCAATAGTAATTGAACAGTCTGACTATTATATTTGAATTATATTTGAACTTTTTCCCAATAATGAAACATAAAATAACCAAACTACACTAAGATGATCATAAATAATTCTATAAGAACTATTAAACCAGAGTCAACTCTGGTGACATTTTATAAACCAATTCACTATTGTCACTCATGTAATCATCATGCATTGTGCTTAGGTCTCTTCTCACTGGCCTTTTCGCCCCATCTTCGGGCGCCATCGAGGTGTATGGAAAAGACATGCAGACCAACATCGATGACGTTCGCAAAGAGCTAGGGGTGTGCATGCAATACGATGTCCTCTTTGACCACATGACGACCAAGGAGCACCTGCTGCTGTACGGCCAGATCAAGGCCCCACAATGGTCACGCAGGGAACTGCATGAACAAGTCCGCACGTGAGTGACCAATAATCCAGTGAAGGAAGCAAGCTCAGTAATATAATGTACTCAATCATATTTCACTTCTTAAAGAAGATGTCAGGGGCTCTGCATGATGTAACAGTACAACTTGTTTTGTTAAAAGACACAATGAAACAATATCAAAAATAAATTTGGGTAGGGGTTATGAGACTATAACAGTGAATTGTAGCTAGTGTTCAACACCAGTGACTGGTTTTACAGGGGAAAAATACAAGGCATATTCAGATATGGCTATAGCCAAACATATTATAGCTATACTTGCTCTAATGTGTAGTAAGGACAAAATAATTATTACACTTAACACTACAACAAGAGCTGTGAAATGTATCAGATACTTTGAATGCAGTTTGAGAATGCTATTGTTCCCAGAGCATGATAGGAACAATATGTTTTTACAGTTTCAAGCTCAACCTTTCCATAAGATTTTGTAATATTTTATTTGATCTATTTTTGTTCCTTTGCATCTTCTTTGGTACGCTTGTGGGAGCAAGCATTAGAAAATTAATGTATCTTTCTGGGGCACCATTTAGCTATGGGTTGAACCCCCAGTTGCATCATGAAACTATTTCTGGAGGGTTTCTGCATGACAAGAGGAGTAGTAATAAGCCTAGGCAAGACAATGTACCTCTCTGGTTCCTGTGGTTCAGAAACCCCCACTGGATAAATGATGGAACTCAGAATCTGTGTTGTAATGTATAGAAGAAGTATGTTAACATTGGCTCCATGTTAAAGGCTTTTTATTGACTCCCCTACCAGGATCCTAGAGGAGACAGGCATGTACGCTCACAGACACAAGCGGGTGGGCACCCTGTCGGGCGGCATGAAGCGCAAGCTGTCAATCTCCATAGCCTTCATAGGGGGCTCACGCTTGGTGGTTCTGGATGAACCCACCACAGGAGTTGATCCATGCTCCAGGCGCAGCATCTGGGACATTGTTATCCAGCATAAGAAAAGTGAGTCTCTCAGACACACACACACACACACACACACACACACACACACACACACACACACACACACACACACACACACACACACACACACACACACCATGAATGCTAAAAATTAATTTCTATTAATTTGATTTCCTTCTCTACATGGAACTCTAAGGTACTGCGACGACTATTGCTATTACTACTATTACCGCTACTATTACTGCTACCACTGATAATAATAAGAATAAGAAGAATAACAGGTAGAAATAGCAAAAAACAAGCAAAGTTTACTCTCCTTTTATGTCATGTGGTGTCCCACAAGGCTTAATACTTGGCCCGATGTTGTTGAGTTTGTATCTGCTACCCCTTGGCCATTTTATTCGTCCCTTCAGCACAAACCCTACCATTGTTACGCCAATTACACACGTTAATATGTCTTGTTTAGTTCTGAAAATTGTAACAATCTGGATTCCCTGCACTGCTGCCTTGCTGGCACCAAAGAATAGATGGCATCTAATCACCACCTTGGACTGACAACTTCAACATTCAGCCAGTTCAGAAAAATTAATATAAATCAGAAACATTGCCAGTCAAACCAGTGCTTCCCAAAGACATAGTTGAGCAATCCATTATTTACTTGCCTCTATTATGCAGCAATTACCAATCTACAGTTGGTGCTTGATGCAGCAGCAAGGCTTCTGACAAACACTAGACTCAGAGAGCATATCTCACCAGCTCAGGCTGTATTACATTGGCTCGTTATATGTTTTGGAATTCAATTTCCTGATTTTGTTGGTTGCTTTATAATATAATATGATTTGGCTATATTTCAGATCTTGTCATCTGCACCAAGAGCTCAAACCAAATGTTGTCAAAGTTCCACAGTCCAGGCTTAAGACAAAGGGGGTTCTTGCTTTTGTGGAGCAAACTCCCCCCTCAAGCATTCGATCAAATCAGCTGAGTCTGTGTCACATTTTAAATAGCTTTTAAAAACCCGTCCTGTACTGGCTGGGATTTTTTATACTTATTTCTCCAAGGGGTTCATCTTGTTCTTTCATTTTCTATTTTATTTCTGTATGATTGACCATTCCCCAGATGTCTTTTTGTAGTTTATTCTGTATTTTATGTGCATCTGGGAAGCACTTTGTAATTGTTTATATAACACCCAATGAATATGTAACATTAGAAGCAGTTCAAGGTAAGAGGTTTCCATGAAGGACTGTGATATTTAACAATTACACGATAAATGTGTAAATAATTGTATAGCATTATTTTCATCCTATCAAACTTGAATGACAATGAGGACACAAACATAGTCTAAGCTTGTAGAGCACACACAATGCAAACTCTCGCTATTTCCTAAGAGGGAAAGGAGTAGAAGAACAGGAAAGAGCAATGAACCTGGAGCCGACTCTGGAGGGCTTTCCAATGCTCAGGCTCCTGACTTTAAATTTAGCATTTAATTAATCTTAAAGGAATCCAGCAGTATTTTTTTCTTTAGGCTCTCTTAGGGTAGCAGCAGTAATGACAGGGAGACTGTTAAATGTCATGTATTCGTAGATGTGGAAAATATCCTGTGTAATTGGCCCTGTCTCAGATGTTAGTGAGATTTCAGTGCCAGGGGAATCTATTTCAAAATAAACTTTCTGCATCGCTTGCTGTTTGTGTGCCTGTTTCTCTGATAATTTGTATCTGAATGACACAGCTTCTGTGTGGCTTTGTCTTTGTAATGTCTGGTGTTTGGTTGTGTATTGTCGCAAATGTGTGTGTGCCGGCAGCTACACTTAAAACTCCTACAAAGCTTTGCAGATTAGCTTGGTTGGTAAACATAACCGTACTGTGTGCATTTAACTTAACTGTTCGTTATTCCGTTGAGTTATAGTTATGGGTTAGGGAATGGTACAATAATGCATATGCAAAATTATTCAGATTGTTTTATGTGTGTGTCCTCCGAGATCGCACCATCATCATGTCCACCCACCACCTGGATGAGGCTGAAGTACTGAGCGACCGCATCGCCTTCCTGGAGAGAGGAGGATTAAAATGCTGCGGATCCCCCTTCCACCTGAAAGACCAGCTGGGTCAGGGCTACAAACTCACTCTCACCAAGAAGGTATTCATCCTCACAGGAATCCCGTCATCATGTTTGGCTTGAGCACAGCTGCAAGATTGTGTTTTTGACTTTGTTTTCCCCAACATGAAATTATCATGATTATCAAACATTCTTTCTGGTCAAAGGAACCAGTAGGTTGAAAATTGGTTCGATTATAGCATAATAAGTAAGTGTTAAGTGAGTGAGTTAGTCTGTAAGCTACAGCATACCTCTGATGCATTTTACTCAGACTTTCTATTAACAATGACACATCTTGGGCAATGCACAGCCAGCATAAATAGTAGCATTTCACTCTATTATTATCTGTCTGTGTGTAAACAAATCCTAGGTTTTATTTCTGCCACACTGGACACTAAAGTTACACACAATACATATTGCAATAATGTGATTTTGTATCAGATATATGGAAAAACTGCTAAATGGGCTAAATCCATAACAAGTAATGCTCTGCTGACTGCTGCAAACTGGCTCATACTTTTTTTCAGCATACTATATGCCGGATTATTAAGCATTCTGCTATCCCATATAGTGTCCTATATGCTAGTTTCATATTTTGGTCAAAATACATGTCCCAAAAAACAGAAGCATGCAAAAAAATACAAAATAATAATGATAATGATTTTAAGGACACTGGCAGCTGATTTGTAGTTGTGCCAAGTAAATCTGTTTGATCTTGAATATTAAACATTTCATAACCTAATCCTACTTTTCTATCTGCAGATGCAGAACCTAGAATCGGAGCAGATTGACAATGCTGAACTGAAAACCTTCATCCAAGCTCATGTACCTGAAGCAAGACTGAAGGAGGCCCAGGGGGGCGACCTGGTCTACTCACTGCCCCCCTTCACCTCATCCAACGCCTCCTCATATCGCTCCCTCCTGACTGCGCTGGACTCCAACCTGGATGCCTTGCAGCTAGGAGGCTATGGCATCTCTGACACCACCCTAGAGGAGGTAAACTTATACACACACACGCACACAAAACACACTGGAGACACAGTGGAGAAAACAGGCTCAACTGCTGAGGTACAATTAATTATTTCCCTGTATAAAATAGGGAAGCTACAAATGTGCTTGTGCTTGTGAACATGATCATATTGTGTGCATAATCACAAGTCGTAAAATTGTACTGAGAAGCTGTTTGACATACAAATTCTAATGTTTTCTTTTTATCTGTGTAGGTGTTCCTCGAATTGACTCACGGCAACACAGAAGCTGGGTCGGAGGACAGCCCCCTGTCTATCTCAGAGACTGTTTCTGACACTGGATCCATCGACAGTTTCCCTTCAGACCTCAGTGGAAGCATCTCCAGCTTTGGTGACAAGATCAGTGAGTTCACACACTTTTACCTCACCCAATACTTGTTTTGTTGTCCCTCCTCATTCCTTCCCTTCTTTCATCCGTGTTTTATCTGTCACCTGCACACATCACATCCAATAAAATGACTAGCATTGAAATTTGTTTATGAAAGTAGTTTAGAGTTGAATTCCTATTGTGGCATTTATACAATAACTGCTGTTTGTGCAGTGACATCAAATGTAGTGTTCACTGTGGTCACCGGTATGCAGAAACATTTTTCATCTTTTCGATTTTTCGATTTTCAGACTTAATCTAAAATATATGAAGATTACTTATTCATCTGACCTAGTTCAATAAGTTCTACAACTCGAACACCCATCTTGATGGATTGCACTGCCATTTTTGTGATATAATCTACCAGTGAACCTTTAGCTCAGTGTACCTTAGAGAAAAAGCAAGCATCATAGAGGCAGTAAGACAGGAAATACATAAATCCTTCTTTCCATTTCTTCCCCTCTAGAGCTTACCGGTTCGTCTGTAGTGCGGGGCATGGCCCTGGCCTGGCAGCAGACGGCAGCCATATTGATCAAGAGGTTCCACCACAGCCGCAGAGACTGGAAGGGCCTGATCGCCCAGATCCTGCTTCCTGTTCTGTTCATGGTGTTTGCCATGGGCCTGAGTTCCATCAAGAGTGACTTGCAACACTATCCGGAGCTCGAGCTCAGCCCGGCGCTTTACAAATTTGGACGAAGCTACTCTTTCTTCAGGTCAGTCCCCATGGCACGCCAGGGAGCACTGGGAGGGGAGTACACCGAAGTTAACAAGGCTAATCAGGGTGCTTTTACACCAAGCATGTTCGGAGCAGTTCAATCGAACTCTGAAGCTTTGCTCTTTTATTTCAATTCATTTGGAAAGGTCACACCAATACCACTGAGACTCAGGTGGCAACAAATAACCACACTGAAAAAGTGGGTCTTGTCCAAGCAAATGTTGACTGAGCAGTTCCAGGAAAAAACTACACACTTGTAGTTTTAATGTATAAATGTGGCAAATTATGGCAACAGCTACAGACTATTCGTCATGCAGTGTGTATCTCAAGGGATATCTCTGTTATACTTGGTTTGTGGCAAAGCTTGGAGGGTGTTGTATTGTAGTGTAGTGTGCCATGTTCTGGCATTTCCAAAAATGATCCTACTTCAAGATCAAAAGATCAAAATTTGAAACCACAAAGCTCTTAAGTGCAACACCCCGAACTTTGATGAAGAGTTGTTGCATCTCGTTACTTGATTGGGTTCCTGCACCATTTGTAAGGGGATCGCATGTCTTTCTTGTTATAAAATGAATTTGAAGCCGTAGTTTGTTGAAGGGCAGACCGACCTTAAGGAGGGGGAGCAAGAGAGAATATGAGCGAAAGACATGATTGTGATGAAGACGGCTGAGATGCAAGATCAAAGAGAGAGAGATTAAGAGTGTCAGGAGGTTGCAATGAACACCTTCATTCTTGAGAAGTGCTGTTGTTTGATCAAGGAGATATGTAGCATGGGAGAAAATGCTGAGGTGCCAATCCATATCAAAGACAGTATAGATGCTCTGCCCAGTCCTCTTTAGCTTAATATACAAAGGGACATTTTTATTTATTTATTTTGAATTAGATCAGTGTGAAGGTTGTGAGGTACTGAAGAAGGTTGTAGGTAGTTGATGGTCAAAGATGCTTCATCCATCCATCCGTCCATTTTCCTGCTCCTCCTGGTGAAAGCGTTCCTAAACCAGATGAGACATCCTGATCAGATGCCTAAACCACTACAGCAGCTACACTCCAAGCTCCCTCTGGCTATCTGAGCTCCTTGAAGGCTGAGCCCAGCCACCCTGTGGAGGACGCTCATTTTGACCGCTTGTGTCAGCGATTTCATTCTGTCGGTCACTACCCAAAGCTCATGACCAGTGGTAAGGGTTGCAACGTAGATGCAGTTTGTAAATCGAAAGCTTTGCCTTCTGGCTCAGCTCCCTCTTCATCACAACAGTCTAGTACAATGCTGCCTTACTACTGAGGCCACACAAACCCCCCCGTCACTCACTCGCTCCATTTTACTCTCACTCGTGAACAAGATCCCAAGATATTTGAACTCCTCCAGCAACTCACTCCCAACCCAGAAATCCACAGTTTTCCAGCAGAGAACTGAAGCCTCAGACTTTCTCATCCTCGCTGCTTCTGTCTTCTCTTATTGTGTCACATTTTATGAACTTTCTGAGGGCACTGTGTTTTCAGACCTGCCTTTATGAACTGCAAATGTAATGATCTGAATGTTTATTTATGAGCTTACCTCTTTGTGTGTTTAAAGGCAGGGAAGGGCTCAAATAAAAGAAATCCACTAAAATGTAAAATGGCAAATCAAATGTCTCAAGGATGTTATATTAGACTCACTGACTGTGCCCCCTTGGTCATTTTATTGACAGTGTTGTAAGTTAGTAAATTGCTCTTAAACCAGTTTCTCTACCAAGAAAACCTTGATAAATGGCAACACTGAATTCTAATTCTTTATAAAGCCCCAGCCGCCAAAATCGATTTGAATAATCAATATTAACTAAACCCAAATCTGTCTGTCTGCTGATGCCATGTTAGAGCCTTATGAAACAATATTTTCTTTGTGTTACTTCATGTTGTTATTGTTGTAATTATGACTAAAATGTCTTTGTTACCTTTAAACTGAGGCAGACTATATGTTTTCTGGCTCCACAGTAACCAAAATCCCAACTCCAGCAAATTGACGGACGCCATGATGTCATTCCCTGGGATCGATAATGCCTGCCTCGACCAGTCTGATAAACCGTAAGTTATCACACCTCAAATGCATTTTTTCCCTGAAAATTATAAATTCGTCGGTGATGCTCTGAGCTCAGTTTCCCTATGTATTCTACCCTTCTCCACTCACACAGTGTTTTCATATTTCACTCATTGTCATTCTTTTCATGCCTTCTCTTTCACCTTGTTTCATTTTACTAGTCTGTCTCTCCCACCAATTCCTGTTTTCTCTCTCTCTCTCTCTCTCTCTCTCTCTCTCTCTCTCTCCCTGGTCTCTCTCATGTCCCTCTCTTCTATTTTCCCGCTGTTCAGCTCAACGTATGTGGCTGAAAGCCTGCAGCAGAACTGTGATGTGAGAGGATCATTTGTATTCCATAAACACCCTGTGTTTATAGGGGAGATTTTGCCCTTACAGGCACTCAAATCAATGTTGGCACTCATGAACCAGACCTCGGATGCATTTTAAAATTCTAATAAATAAATAAATAGAGAGAGAGAGAGAGAAGGAAATATCCTATGGTGCAAAAGAGACTGCATGTTTGGCTCATTATGTCCTATAATCACAACATGACAACAACAATGACTGACACAGTGCTGAATGCTGCAGTTACATAGTTTATATTAAATATATTCTGTATGATCCCCTGAATATGGTCATTGGTGTTAAAGTAACAGGTGTGCATGTGAGTGTGCAAAGCCATGTGTTATACTACAATCTCTTTTTGATCTGCACAAAGTGTCCCTGGAAGCATTTGGCAGAACACAAAATGTGCGGGAGTTGAACATCAACCCACACAAGCAAATTTCACACAATATGATATTGCAGCACATATTAAACAGCTTTGAAAAGTGTTTTGATATCAGATTAAATATTTGGGTCCCGATCTCACAGAGGAAAACTGCAAGTTCACAACTTCTGTATGAATGGTAGCAGATGGTCTTTCGTTTTGCCACTCTATGTGCACAGGTTTTTAGCAATGACGCAGGCTATCATATGAACTCAGTTTCAGAATGTGTTCTGGGGTGAGTCTAGGTAGGGCTTTGTGGCATTATCACGCATTGCAGACCCCCATTATTTTACTGAACCATCATTTCAGTTGTGAATGTTTTTTTTAAGGGTCTGCACAAGAAGCACAAGCAAGTGGACTTCCAGAGGGAACAGCTCCAAAGCATTTAGTGTCTGTAAATGCACCCGTCAGGAACAGGTGAGACAGGGTCACTGAGAACAGTGTGTGGCAGTGAGTGAGTTTTTGTGTTCTCATGTTCTACACATAAATGTGTCTTCCTGTGCTCGTGTGCGTGATTGTTTGCAAAAGGGCAAGTGCAATGTGTTCTGTCTTTTCCATATGCTGCAGGTTTGTGATGGGGGCAGCTTCCAGCCGCCCCATAAGACCATCCCTTCATCTCAGATTGTGTATAACCTCAGTGGCATCAATGTGGAGAACTACTTGATGGTCACAGCAAATGACTACATCAGGAACAGGTTAATGCAACCAGTCTTTATATTTGGTTTAATGTAACCACATTTAGAATTCAGCCCCTGCTTCACCGATTAGTTTGCTAATGATTGCATGAACGATATGAAGCGATGTTCCAAGAAAAATCAGTAGTTATATCACATATTATTTCCCATTTTAAAATTATATTTCATAATATTACATCATTTTGGTGAGTTAACATGAGGCAGGTTGCTAATAATGTATGGAGCTCAGTTTTCTTTTGGCTTTATTCAGTCGCAGTAGAAGTTGACCCAACGGAAAATGTAGAGATTCTCGTAGTGTCTATTCCTTTCAAACTTTTTTAAACAATATCAATCAATCAACTGGGAAGCTTTAGATAATTAAAACTGACAATCGAAAGGAAAGTTTATGTATATAAAACAAGGATGTGCAGAAATCTAATTAGCTTTTGATTTGGCCCGACAGATATGGGTCTCTTAAAACTCACACAATGCTGATGTTATTGATATGGCGGCCAATATACAGAAACAAAATAGACCGTTTTGGACTGATATAACTATGCAAAGGTAATGAAATGAAATTAAAGAATATTAAGTTAATATAAGATTAAAATGTAGGCTACATCATCAACCAATTCTAGAAATTCTGTGAAAATGAAGAAGGAAGAGAAAAATAAAATAAATAACTAAACATCAGCATTGTAAAAACAGCAAGCCTTTATTCAATGTGTACCAGAAAAAAACATATTGGTGGATATCAGATGACATATATGCCGATACCTATATGATACTGATATGTCTGCAATAGGCTAGTAGTTAATAGTTAATACTGTTTGCCGTACTTTTCTGATAATAATGATAACAAACTTTATTTATATAGCACTTTTTTTAACAAGGTTAAAAAGTGGTTTGAAGAAACTTGAAGAGACTTTTTAATGTGGGTTTTGATGCTTTTATCCAAAAGTTCTTCTCATCTGCAGATATATTCTTTGATCAAAAGAAAAACAAGCATCCAAAAGACAGTGTGTCACGTATTATTTCTCAGTGGCATTCGGAGCTCTTTGTTTTGATCGATATATGTTTGTTTTTTTCAGGTACGGTGGCTTTGCTTTTGGCATGCCGCTCCCTCCTGACTTACAAATGGACCTAACAGCGGTGCCCAAAAACCGCACTCTGTCTAAGGTATGTTTGTCTCCTGCTTCCCTGCTGCCTGTCTCATTATCACTTTAACTGCTGTACTGATGAGTAGTTGAAAGTTAAAACATGACATCCTAGCTAAAGTTGTTTGGCTACAATATCAAGGCTCACAGATGGAGCTGCATTGTTACACCATCAGTGTCATCATAAATATTCTTTACTGCGGCAATTGTGCCACAGTTTTAGTGTGTACATTTCCTCACATGATGACGTCTGCATTTATTGCCTTGTTTCCAAAACATTTGGATAGTATATTTTAAAAATGTAGTAGACTTACATATCCTGATCTGTAGCAGTGTGAGTGATGGTTTCTGTGCATGTCTGTGTTTGTGCTTGCATGGGTTTAGGTCTGGTTCAATCCTGAGGGCCACCACACAATGCCAGCATACTTAAACAGCCTCAGCAACTTAATCCTACGCTCCAATCTTCCAGCAGACAAGGATCCACGTAAATATGGTAAGCTAGAGTTGGTACTGGGAAAATATTTTTTTATTAAATGTAAAACAGTACACAGTGTGAGATTTTAGTTAGATTGAGCAGTGATTCTATACGTTCAAAGGCAAGAACGGTAAAGATTACTGCTATCTAATCTAAATTTGTTATTGTTTGTTGATTTTAGAAAACATATTTATAGTGGTATTGACCTTAATTCATGTGGACACACAATACTCCCTGGTTATTGTGAAAGATAAGCTGAAGAAAATGAGTGGGATTGAGCTAAAAGGAATGCACACATCAGCATTGGGAAAATCTATCTATCTCGGAAGGTGCTACTGATTGAGCACCCAGTGCATTTTTTATACTAAATATAAAGAGAGCTGTAAACAGTGTGTTTACTCATGGTTCATTTCACTGGATTAAAGCCAGGGGGTGCTGTGTGTCCTTAGACTCACATCACTATGCATGCTGAATACTGATGAGGGCCACTCACTGGGGAGCTATGCTAAAGAGATCGAGGCTGGCCCACGTTTTCAGTACTGTTTCAGCTCTGAGTATCACCCTGACCATCTGCCTGGCGGCAGGAGTACACAAACATACACACAAACACATGAAGAAATGCTCATAAAAACACAACAGTGCATGCACAGTAGCACACGCACACACACAAATTTCTTCCCCACCGGATGATAAAAGTGCTCCAGGCTATAGTGTAATCATTTAAATGTTGCCTGCTATCTCACAGCGGTGGCGGAGGGGGGTGTCAGGGGTGGAGATCCAGGGAGATTACTTTTCAAGGTGATGGTTTATCTGTCAAATCTAAAGCCCTAACCCTCACATTGTGTACTGCAGTACCAACTCTGGGTTGGGACCCTTTTGAGGTTTGCATCAAACAGTGTCTCTCGCAGGATTTCTGACCTTAACCGCCCACTGCCCAGTGCCATCACACTCCTGTCCGCTGTCAACAGTAGAGATTCTGATCACTCCCACATGCAACATTGTTTTGTATTAAAAGTCTGTTTGCCCCATCCCACAGAGAAAAAATGCAGTTACTCAACTGTTTAATAATCCACCTTTACAAGTCATGAACTGAAAAAGAAGCCTTATGTAAAGGTCCAGTGTGTACGATTTAGTCAGTGGCATCTAGTGTTGTATATGCGGATTGCAGCTCCCTCGCTTCACCCTCCCCTTCCAAGCACGATGGAGAAACTATGCTGACCATTGAACGCATAAATGCCCCTATTTAGAGCCAGTATTTATCCTTTCTTGGTTATTGTAGAAACATGGCACTTCAACATGGCAGACTCCATGGAAGGCGACCCACAGTGTCTGTAGATATAAAAGGCTCAGTCTTACAAAAACATAACGTTTAATATATTCAGGTGATTATACACTAATGAACACACCTATGAATATTATATTACATTTCCGCCAATAGATCCTCCTAAATGTCACACACTGGAACTTGGATTCTTAGCTTGAGGCACTGAGAACTAAAATATTCTGAAAATGATGTAGATCATGACCAATTTCTCTAATTTATTAAAATTAGTCTATGAGTCAATCAACAGAAAAAAAATTGTTTTAAGGAAAATTGGCAAAAAAACCCACCGGTTCTAGCTTCTCAAATGGGAATATTTGGTGGTTTTCTTAGCCCTTTGTAATAACATAACAGACGGCTGCAGCTCACAATGAATATAATTGTTAGTTGCCTTGGTAGTTGTTTCTCATTGGAAAAAAACTACCGACCAGATCTGGGAACATCAAAAACAATGATGATGTTGTAATGTTAATGATTATCAGATTTGGATCAGTCAATAGAACCCATCTATCCTACCGTAGTGCCCTTGAGTAAGGCACTGATCGTCCAGCTTGCTCTAGGGTTGTTGTGCTTTGGATGTGCTCACACTCTCCTATCTCAGGAAATGTAAGCAGAGCCATGTAGGGGAGTAGTTCATGTCTGTGAGCATCTAGAAGCCCCCAAAAAATGATAAAGAAAATTCAATTTCCTTTGTGTGCACTGGCAAATGAAATCATCTTGCACTATATTTTTCAATTAAGTGTGTCCCTGGCTAAGAGAACATCATTGCTCATTTGGCTCCTGTGCTTGAAAAATAGCCTGTATGCTGTTGTTTTTCTACCGCTAACATAATATTCTATTTCTTTCCATTACAGCCATTTCAGTTTCCAGTCACCCCTATTTCGGCCGGGTGGATGATGAAGATGCAATGTAAGGACTCCACTTTAAATCCTTTCTTCTGTCTGTCAGTATTCAACAACATCAGTGGCCGCACTTGCGAATAGATTCTAATTAGCATTCTAATAGGTGAAAATATCTCAAAATTAGTCAAGTCATGATGAATATAATTGGCTGTTGTTTGGCTGAGCCCACAATAAATTATGGAAGCATCCTACTGTTCAATTCAGGACATCTAATTCAGGGTGGACTCGGGGCAGGGAGGTACATGACAGCAGTATTTACCCATATTTGATTTTCTAAATGGATTTCCCTGAGCTTGCACTATTGATCAGAGTCCCAATATAATGAGTGTTTACCCTGAAGGTGGCACAGAGGTGGATTGATTCTACCCTACTTCCCAAAATGAGTTTATTTAAAATACTCCACATTCTGCTTTAGAGACCCAGACTGCGGAATGAGTGCTTGTGTGTGCGCTTGCATGTACGTATGCAGATGTGCGTGTGTTCCAGAGGATCAAATCAAATAAATCATTCCAAGAGTGGGTTGAGCTAAAGCTGTGGCCTCATGAACGTCTGTCCTCTCCAGAGCCTTATTAGCTCTAACCATTTCACTGACCATTTCCCTGTGTTTACTGCCCTTCAGTTTCTCCACATACACCACATTTCTTTATGTGTATAGCATTTCCGTAGCTGTTGGCCTACTGAGGTACTGCGTGTGCACAATTATCCCTCCTTCCAGGGAGATATTCTGCTTCTTCAGTTAAAGACACAACAGGCGTATTACTCCAAATGTCTTGAGTCTCACGGTGTAGTTTTGGCCACCAGAGAATTTCTAAGGCTATCTTGGCCATACTGATAACAAGCCCGTTCAGTAGCTGCTGCTGCTGTCTATCCTCCGTAGTTAGTGCTGCCCTAAAACGCCCACCACATGTCACTCTCTGCTATTCTCTCTCCTTCCCACTCGGTCACTCTGTCAGCTTCACCGTCGTCCCATTTTTTCAGCCTTGTGTAGCTTGTTCTATTTGGTTGGTGGTGGTGTGCCCCGGCCAGAGGAGAGAGTTAAAAGTAGTACAGTAGCGTGCAGGGCAGGGATAGAGAGCATGGGAGATGAACAGGTAGCAGCCTCAAGAAAGTTTTCACTGGCTTGAAGAGTAACCGAGGGATCAAAGGCTCAGCTGGTAGTCTGGGGTCTAGTCTGGACAATAGGCTCTGCAGCTTCACAGTAACACAGTTGGCCTACCGCCTATACAACAAGAGCAGTGTGAAGTTGTTCTCTATATGGAGCCATCTGTTTCTTTTACAGTTATTATCTTGTCAGAGGCGAAGCACAAGCATCTCTTTTAACAAAGCTGTTTGTTATTAATGAAATTCCAATTATTGTGAGCTACTTCAATAGTTCATATGAGTCAGGCCCCAGCAGGGAATGAAATGATAGTTTGCAGAAGGGTTTTGAAATGGGTCATTGTTTTCTGGAAAAATGACACCAGGTTGCCTCATTCAAAGTGACTCTGCACACCAGAGTATATTGATTCATTTGTGCACTTGTAGTAACTGCACAATACAGAAACAGGTTAAAATAAAAAAATAAAACAATACAGTTGTTAAGGATCCAGGAATATAATGATTAATACATTAAGAATTGCTGGGGTTGAATAATTCACTAATTACAGACATGAATGATAATTAATGATGTCAGTGCTGTGACTGACATCTGAATGATCCCATTTTTTTCCTTACAGTGTCCAGGGAATGCTCCAGATCCTAGTGGCTATGTGTGTGCTGACGGGTTACTCAATCACGACAGCCAGCTTTGCCATCTATGAAGTCAACGAGCACCACAGCGGCTCCAAGAGGCTCCAGCACATCGCTGGCATCAGTGAGCCCTTCTACTGGGCTGTGAACTACTTCTATGACATGGTAACATCTTCGAATCACCTAACAGGAGAACATCTCACTAATCTGGATAAATGTAGTCGAACCCTTTCTGTGTCAATCATCAATCATGCTCAATAAAAGCAAAAGCGAACATATGTATAATATATATCAATGTCCAATGCTACATTTTAGATTGCAAAAAAAAATTAATCAAAATCAAAATTAATTGATAGCACAACCTCTTTTTACATTATTATGAATGCATGTATTCGTTATTTATATAAAACCAAATGTTTCAATTCAATAGCACGCCTTCATTTTGCTGCATCATATCCCATGTTTTTCCACAGGTCATGTATCTGATCCCTGTGACCTTGACTGTCGGTGTGATCGCAGCCTTTCAGATTGAAGCATTCACAGATCGGCAAAATTTGGGTGCCGTCACGCTGCTTCTGGTGCTCTTTGGGTGAGTAATTTTTGCCTCACAACATCATGTTGTGCAGTCTAATGATGTGTTCACAGGGATTTTAGGGGGTGGATTTACAAAGCTCACTGAAAAAAAATCGATGTCAGTTTATGGCATTGTTTGTCCTTTGGCTTGTTTTGTTTGTGACATTGTTGACCGAAAGTAATTTGACTATGGAAAAGGTCGCATGAGGCTTACAAATCAACATTCAGAGACAAAGCCACTGTACTAAATATGTCGATGTCTGTTTGCTTCATTGTTAAAGGAAAACTATGTTTTTTTACAGCTTCAAAAATAAAAGTGATAAGTACCACAAACTCTGGAGGTGCAAAGATGCAGCTAATGACGAATATAATTTACATGTATTACAGTGTATGATGTATGTAAGCTTATGTAAGAAATAATATTTTTATTCAATATTATTCTGCGGTGGACTGCAACTTGTTGGGTCCGTTTAGTTGTTTTTCGAGAAAATAGTGGGTTGTCTTTGCCGTAACCTCCAAAACCTTCAGCTACATTCAAACCCAAATCATCCAGGGTTTCTAAATGTTCAAAAGAATGTCCTCACATACACACTGTGTTTTCTAGCTTATGCTGCATGTTACTTTGTGTTCCACCAGGTTGGATTTACAGCACTGAGCATAAGGAGGCTGCTGTTCTTCTAACGCAAATATAACTCAGTTATTCAGAATTTCTTGCAAAGACAGATGGTGGTAGGATGGAAAACATGTTTGTCCTATTCAAGCCAAAGACGCTACAGCGAGGGGAGGGAGGGAAATCAGGAGGCAACAGGGCTTAAATAGAAATAATATGACTTGGTGTGAGAGAGACTAGCTAGCTACGGTCTCGAGATACCAAGGTTTTTAAAATCAATGAGATTTAGATTTTTGGAAAGGTGTCAAACCAATGACATGCCGTGTTTCCCGCATCTGGATCACTGAGATTATTTACACCATTCACCAACTGTAGCTGAAGCTTAGTCTCCTATGTTTCCTGTTGCTGTTGCAGGCCTCGTCCTGAGCCCCAGATCTTAGGAGGCCAAGTCAGCACTCTGCTTCTCATTTATCAGACAGATGTCTCCCTCCCAAGCAATGAATAATCACAGTGCTCCATCTGTCAGGCTGCACCCACCTGGTCTGGTCTGCAGCCTTCTTGGTTCTGTTCCTTGTCATGGCTTGGCACCCGCAGTCTGCCTACCCAGCACCTTTTTTTTTGGGCATGGCACGCAGATGCTTTGTCTCTGTCTGGCTCTATCTGTTCGTGTCTGTCTCTTTCTTTTCCCCCCACCCTACTTTTGTTCTTTTTCATCTCTTTCTCCCTTCTTCACTTCCTCTCCGTCTCGCTGACCCAGACACCCCAATCAAATGAACAAGCAGATTATGTGAGACAAAAGAGAAAACAAAAAAAAAGGGAAAAGGATGCTCTGCCACCAGGGGAATAAGGGGAGAAGTAATTTATCTTTCTCTCTTTTGGCGTCATGACTGAATGTTTACCCTCCTCATGGTGTGGTATTTTTCCTCCATCCCTTTTCAGTATTCTTTGGTGCCTATTTTCATCAGTCTCACAGCAGCTCTGTTCAGTCAGTTAAAATCCTGACCACTCCAGTTAAAAAAATGCAAGGTCATGTCATTTTGGAAGATAAGGAGGACTGTGTAAGTTTTCTGTATTTGGAACCAACCGAGCCAGATAACAGCAAGGCTATTTTAAGGTGTTTGTGTGGAGTTATTTTTACTTGATGCTGTGTTTAAAGCGTCCTGTCATTGTCAATTCCTCAGGTTTGCTACCTTCCCCTGGATGTATCTGTTATCAGGCGTCTTCAAGGATGCAGAGATGGCCTTCATCACCTATGTGTGCATCAACCTCTTCATCAGTATCAACACCATCATGTCCACCTCCATTCTATACTTCCTGGGTCAAATTTCAATGCGCAACCCTGAGGTCAGCATACACTAGATCTAGTTAAATGCATGCTTATATGTATGACTGTTTATTAATTATTAGAAACCCAGCCACTCCCTGTAACTGCAGTGATATATAGAGTTGCAGAGGAGTGAGAAGGGCAAACATACCTCATATATCCAGTGACAGGGAAGTGAAGATTACAATTCAGGATGAGCTCTCAGGTTTTATATCCTCACTTCTTTCCCTCTCTCTATCCCTCACTTCTCAATCTCTTCTGTTCTGTCCATCCCTCTGCAGGTCATCCAGGACATCTTCATGAAGCTGAGCTACGCCTTCCTAATCTTCCCCCAGTTCAACTTTGGGAATGGGCTAATGCAGATGGCCAGGATGAACATAGAGGTCCAGATCCTCAGTGGGTACGGCATCGATGCCTATAAGAACCCGTTCTCTCTAGATGCCCTGGGCTGGATGTTCATCGCCTCCTTCATCCAAGGCTTGGTCTTGTTCACCCTGCGCCTCCTGCTCAACAAGTTCCTCATGCGCAAAGTCAGGTGAGGAAAGCAGTAGAGAGAGACAGTGTGGCCATGCCGTGAATGAGCGTGATACACGACCAGCCTTGTAATTGAATTGAGAATATTTTGTATGTACAGAATGTAGAACTAAATACATTTCTCCTGAATATCACACCACAAAGTGCTTTCTTTACCTCCAAAAGTTGTTTTCTACTGAAAGACACAATTCACTGCATTTTATAATCCTCTTGAAGCCCAGAAAGGGAAAAAAAATGCAGAAAATAGACACATGAGTATGGTTGAATATGTGTCCCTTTTAAGTAACTAAAGAAAATAATAAAACAACAAAGATACATGTCCTAATGCCAAAAATATTGAGCTCCGAAGATTGGCACCAAGTTTCAGTCAATCACAGATTTAATGGGTTGTTTTCTGCATCTCTGCCAGTTCAACTCAACTTACCTGTAACACCTAATAGTATGTATAAAAAAATCCATCTCCCTTTGCAGGCATCTGATTTGCAGCAGAAAGACAGTGCCCCAGGGGGCTTGTGAAGATGAGGATGAGGATGTGGCGGCTGAGCACCTACGGGTGTCCAGTGGAGCAGCCAGCTCAGACTTACTACAGGTCAACCAGCTCACTAAGGTCTATCAACACCTCAAGAAGAAGGTCCCTGCTGTTAAGAAGCTCTCTGTGGGCATCCCGGCAGGAGAGGTAAGCCTTTACCCATAGTAGAAATATGAATGACTAAATCCATCTGAATCAGTAGGATAACAAAAGGGACATAAGTAATGACTTCTATCAACCTGTTGTGAGATTATAGTATTATAGTACTGTAAAGTGGAGAAATGCTTCAGGATGACTAAACAATGGGCGTTTGCTTACAGTGCTTCGGTCTGCTGGGAGTGAACGGAGCAGGAAAAACTACCACCTTCAAGATGCTGACGGGAGATGTTAGCCCCACTGATGGCTCAGCACAGATCAGGGACTGGGACGGGTAAGTTGTTCATGAATTTATTTGTTCATCATCAAACACATACAATGCAACCTTTATTTGTTATATTGTGCTGTCTTGCTTTGCCTTCTGTTTATACTTGTGGCACTGCATGCACATTTCCTAAACACATCAGGTTAGCATCTGTAGGCCTATACTTAAAATGTATTCCTGAAAACTGAACATTATTCATGAGAATCACTACAGAGGAGATGACAGAAGAAAACCCATCACAAGACACTGCTTTGATTGAATTTTTGCAGGTGCCCAAGCTGCACAGTCTAATGAATCTGAGCTAGATTCAATTTGCATAACACAAATATCCACAAATGAGGGATGTTATTGCCTCGCATCAGCCAAAATTCGAACCAAAATGGTTTGGGATTTAACAAGTAGCAGCTGTATCCCAGACTCTCCTATACAGGTATAAACCCCCACTGTGCTCTTGAGTCTGGCTCCCTATTACAGCTCTGTTGTTGTTGAGCTGTGTGTTGGGTATTCCCAGCACAGCACACTACAGACAGCATGGCCAACAGAACACCCTGCCCTACACCTACACCATGTGTGGTGGATGCCATTTAAGAGAATATGTCTTTCTTATATGTCTTTTTTCCCCCAGGCGGTTGGTAGATATCATGGAGTGCCGCAACGAGGGAATTAACATCGGCTACTGTCCCCAAGTGGATGCACTGGACGATCTGCTCACTGGAGAAGAGCACTTGTACTTCTACGGTCGCATACGAGGCATCTCAAAGAAGGAGTTAGACGGGGTAAGAAAGAGCTGACTCTGCGCTGCTTTTCAAAGCTCCGGTTAGTGACAACACCATCCACAAAATGACACGGGATCTGATATAAATTCAAAGGTGCACTCCCACTGCAAGACTAGTAACTGTCAGTGCTTCCATGCATACTGAATCAGAGTGCGTGTTAAGTGTTGAGTGATGTGCGCTGAAAGCTGTACTATCTGGGGCAAAATGGAAAAGCTTTTGTTGTCAGCTCGTGCAATCCAAACTTCAGAATTAAGCTGATGCTGTGTGCTTCACTGCAGACAAATTTACATTTAAACGATACTTTGATGATGAGAGGATCTCATTTGACATGTCACTTTAGCCCCATTCTTCCCATTTATCTTTCTGAGAACTAATCAATCTTGCTTCTGTGGTGATTACTGAGTGTGCCTGTCTTTTGCTGCCGCTGCTGCTGACATGAGAGGAATCGGCGTAGCAACCAATCAACAAGACGATGTGATTTCTGATTTTCCGTCTTGATTTTTTTTGTTCAAAAAGAAACACAAAGGAAACAGCTCCGAGGTTTGGGAACATTTATAGAAAACATCAGGACAAATCTGAATTGTATGCAGAAAAACATCTATCTATGTTCGTTCCAGTCTCTCTACACCATTTTACAGTTTAGGGTCCAAAAGCACAAAACATTGATTGTCTCTGACAATCTCAGTCATGTTACAAACAGAAGTATGCACACACAGACACACACACATGCTCACACAGACAATGAAGCACAGAAATGGATCCGTCTGGCTTTAATCGCCACCACTGCTGTTGTTACAGCTCCTCTTCTCTGGTCAGGATAGTGACAACAATGGTTATAATGGCCACTGCATCGGTGTCAGGCTAATTCACAAAGTGAGGTTATATATAGAGTCCCTCTTATGTTGTCTCCCACTGACAGTCCCCGAGCTGTGGATAATGAGACAAGCCTTAATGGGGTCATTTCGCATTGACATGGTTTTGTCAGGCTTAATGAGCTGTTACATCAAAGGTGATAGAAAGGGGCTTTTATGAGCGAACATAAAAAAAACAACATGTTTTGATCTGAACCAGTCAGATATATGCTATGTTGCCAATGTTAATTATTGAAATTTGGCTGCTGATACGTTTTTTTTTTAATCTAAAGTACGTTATGTCCTAAACTGTGTAATAACTAACCTGCTTAATAACCTGGATCAGTGAGCCCAGAATCATATGGAAAAATCAACACTAAAGGCAAATCCTCTTACAGGGGAAAAGCAAAGAAAGCTATCTATTACATTGGCTTGCTTCATTGATTTGGTTTCCAAACTTGCCAACTGATGGGAAAAAGGCTAAAGCATACCGATGGGAAATCACCTCAAGCTATTTGAAAATGAAGTGGTATTTACAGCACACTATTTCATGTAATTAATAGGCAAGCATAGATATTTTTAAGTGACTGAAATGTTTATGAGCCATTAAAGGGTTTTTCATGCCTGCTTTCAGGATAAACTGATATGGACCAAACAGATTATGCCGTGTCAGTTCCTGTTCTCTAAAGCTGCAGCCTCAAGACAGCATTGAGTTTAGAGGGAATAAAGTCACCAAGTGAAGTCGTCATTGTTGTACAAACAAAATTAAATATGCATGGGAGAGGGACAGATAGATACCTCAGTTTTTCGCAGTGTAGCTGTACTGGACAGAATAGGAAGAGGCAATAACAGAAATGAATATCAAGCAGCCAATAAGATGTACCTTTTGCCCTCAGAAAAGCTTCGTGAAAATCCACCTTTCCCTGCTGTTATCAGGTCTTGAATTGTGTGTGGTTGGATATTGGACTTTCTCTCCAGAGAGAGGACCTTCATGAATGATGATAGATTAAAGGGATGGAAAATCAACTTCCTTTCAAAGGTCCAGTGTTGTTTAGATCCGCTGGATCCACAGATGGGGGTTGACTTTATCCTTATGTGCCAGAAACTAGGCAACAGCATACTGGTCTATAAAAGTGTCTTATATCCCTTTATGGTCATAGACCCATGCATAGCAACCATTAAACCTACTGACTCCCTGTAGACTCCCAAGATCATTACATATCTCCTGCATTGATGAGCAATTTGCAGCAGACACGGGTTGGAGGTTTGCCTTCCTTCACATATAAACCTATTTGGTAGAATCAATTCAATTCAATTCAATTTTATTTGTATAGCACCAATTAAAAAAAAAAATAATTCCCGGAATTTAAAAAAAGAAAGGTAAAACAAATAAAAAAAATTAAAAAAAAACAACAAAAACAACAAAAAAAAAAAAATGGGAAAAAAAGAAAGAAAAAAAAACTTAAAAAAAAAAAAAAAAAAAAAAAACCCCCCCCGGGGGGGGGGGGGGGGGGGGGGGAAAAAAAAAAAAAAAAAAAAAAAGGGGGGGAGGAGGGGGAGAAAAAGAGAGAAAGAAAAAAAAAGGAAAAAAAAAAAGAAAAAAAAAAAAAAAAAAAAAAAAAAAAAAAAAAAAAAAAAAAAAAAAAAAAAAAAAAAAAAAAAAAACAAAGAAGAAAACAAAAAAAAAAACCCCCAAAAAAAAAAAAAAAAAAAAAAAAAAAAAAAAAAAAAAAAAAAAAAAAAAAAAAAAAAAAAAAAAAAAAAAAAAAAAAAAAAAAAAAAAAAAGAGAAGAAAAAAAATCATGTCTTTGCATATTAGCCAAGTGATTTTAGTGTGTTTATTGTATAGAAATTATTTTTGCAATTTATCAACTTGCATGCTAAGCATCTAATAAGATGTTTAAAGATGTTTGTCCATGTAATAATATATTGGTCCTGTAACTTTAAAAGGTCAAACATACTGCTAATTGACATTTGGGTTAATGACTTGTCTGTGTAGCCGCCTTCTTGGTTAGATTAGTGCATTTAAAACTGTAATCCTTCTTCATATGGTGTTTGTTACATTGCCTGTCATGTATAATCCTCTGCATGCTACCTTCAAAGGTGGTGAAGTACCTGCTGAAGAAGCTGGAGCTGACCTACCATAGAAACATCACTACCGGTGGTTACAGTTGCGGCACCCGCAGGAAGCTCTCCACTGCGCTGGCTCTCATTGGACATCCACAGATCCTGCTCCTGGTGAGGACACACCTGTTCGCGCCGCTGTGGCTGCCTGTTTAATTGCCTAACTGGCCACCAGACAGAAAATATTAAACTAACTATACACTACTGTTCCTCCTTAAAGAGTCTTTGAAGTAAAGATATTGATCCCCTAGACTTGACAGATCTCATATAGTTAATTAGTCTGCTTTCTCGGGCTTACCCAAGGGTGGTCTTCCCTGTAACTTTTAACTTTGTTTCTGCCTTATGTCTCAATCAAATCCTTCCTTTTCTTCTTCTCTCTCCTTCCTTCTGTCTCTCCATTTGTTTCATTTCCTCTGTGTCTTTTTAATTTCCCCATCCTCTCTTGAATTTTTCCTCTACCTCTTGTCTTTCTTGTTGTCTTTGTCTTTATTTCTTCCCTTTGCTATTTTTTGCTTTGTCTGTAACACTGAGCCTTCCCATCTCCCTTCCTATTTTGCAATTATGCATGTGTGTTTACTGTTTCTTGTTGCCCTTGTTTTTCCCTTTGCCCTCTGTATGCACTGCACTCTGTTTGCAACACACTGCCTTCCTCGATTAACTACTTGTTTTTCCTTTGATCCCTCCTTTTGATTTGAACCGTCCTTGCCTTCTTTCACACCTGCTATCCTCTTCTCATTCCTCCTCTCTCCACAGGATGAGCCGAGCTCTGGCATGGACCCTCGCACCAAGCGCCACCTGTGGAAAATCATCTCTGAAGAAGTGAAAGGAAAATGTGCCGTGGTCCTCACCTCTCACAGGTTAGGATAGTAGCAACCCACACACACACACACACACACACACACACACACACACACACACACACACACACACACCTGCTACAGTTTGTCTTTGGATATCACAGATACATATTACAGTTACAGTTAAAAGGTAAAGTGCGCTTTTTCACATATTAACTGTCGATAGCAAGTAGGATAAGTAATAACTGCTAATTACTGTATGTTCAAAGGGCCTAGTTTGACCTTTTATCTTTCTCTCCTCGTCTGTGCATCTCAGCATGGAGGAGTGTGAGGCACTGTGCAGCCGCCTTGCTATCATGGTGAAAGGGCAGTTCCGTTGCCTGGGCTCCCTGCAGCACATTAAGAACAGGTTAGTGACCTCTGCTCATCCTCCAATCCAGCCATTACTGTTCTCCCCAACCCCCCGCCTCCACAGCCTCCTGTGTGTCCACCACCTCATGGCCACCCCTCAGACATGTAATAATACTGCTTTGTTTGTAAAAAATCTTCTTTTTGCAGGTTCGGCAGCGGGTTTACTGTGAAGATGTACTTGGCCGAGGCCTCCAGTGACACAGAGGCAATCACTGGCTTCATGCAGCGCCGATTCCCCAGCACTTATCTCAAGGTGAGCTTTGCCGGCTACCTAAAGTAGTCAAGAGAGCTTGGTAAAGAAGAAAGAAAGAGATTAAGAATACATTGCAGTGGAGACAATGTAACAATTCAATGCCTGCTCACTTTCATATATTTTGGAATTGTCCACTAATCCAGTCCTATTGGCAAGAGATAGTAACAGAAATAAAATCAGTAATGAGTTTTGTGATGGATTAAAGTTTTGGCACGATATATTTTATATATTTATATATCCAATTGGATTTAACGGTCAGGACAAGTATCTTCTTAAAGTATTACTTGTAGCAATAACTAAGAAATGGTAAGATAAGAAACCACCAGTAAAAGGAAAGTGGATAGTGATAATAAAGGAAATTTACAAATTGACTGTATGTATTACTGTAAGTATTTTTCCAAACAATGTATACACATGAATATAGATATTACATAGAAAGATAGGAAAAACCTTATTATAGTATTGTTTGTCTTTCTGTTTTTTTCTTTTTCTTTTTTGCTCTCCTCCTTCTTGGTTGTGGTCTACTAGTATTATCATATTTATAATTCCATCATAACCCTTTTTCTGTTATTTATTTGTTCAGTGGGCTCACACTGGGTTTGCATGTGTATTTGCTAAATGAATGTCATAAAATAGCAGTCATTTTTAATTCCCTCTGAGGACTAGATAGATTGCAATCCTTACTTGATGCCCTCTTGGTGTTGTCTCTGTATGCCATTCTCTCTTCCAGGGACTATGGGACTATTGACAAGTAACCTTAACACAAAGCTAACTGCTGTACCAATAACATTTTAGCTGTATTGTACTGTCCCTGGTGACTTGTCTGTTCAGTTCTGTGCATCTATGTTCCACTGGAACAAAAATTACAAAGTTGAAAAAAAAGAATACATTGCAGGTGAATGTTGTATTTGTTGAGTTCGTTGTATCAAGCTGAATGATGTTCACAGTTTCAAAGCAGCATTAGATCGATCTTTTCTGACACTTTGGGGCTAGTGGAACAAGCTCATATTATCGGCATACAAAGTTGTTAAGGCGAAGGTGTTAGCAACAGTTGCCTATTTAGACATCCAGCAGTAGTGGAGCAACATTGGCATTCATTTGATTTCATGTTTTTGTCCACCTGATGAATATAAGTCCAATATTCACCCCTCATTTAGCTCTGTTTTGTTCTTCTTCATCTCCTGGGGGAAATCTCTGGCACTTTAGAAAGCTAAATTCTCCACCATGTTTACAAGCTAGTTGCTGTTTTTGTCTTTCAGTTGTTTGGCGTTGGGCAGGGTTGCGTACATTGGGTCAGGGTTTTTTGCTAGCTGCAGCTAGAAACATGGTTGAAGGCGGTGAGAGTGGACCAAAACAGCAAAGTTGTGGGCCATAAAACCACCATAATGAGCTGAAAGGCGTTACAAAATAAAAACTCTATAGAGCCGAGTGGAACTGCAGCATAGGGTTATAATTTTCTGTATACACTGTAATTGACCCATTTCACATGACACATATTCATTTGATCCATTGCTAAAATGTCAGTTTGTGCAGCTTTAAAGAATCCATATAAAATGATCTATGTGTTATTGACTTTAATACCTCACTACCTGTGTGTCTTCTTCAAAAAATCTAAATTCTCTCTTTCTTAACTAAGAATAGAAAGCAATTCATTATATAACCAGTTGTGTTCAAGGTATTAGTGTTCCCCATCCCAGAAATTCAGTTAGTGTCTATATATATTTATGTAAATACATATACCTACTGTATATAGAATAGGGTATAATATACTGTATATAGATTAACAATTTCAATTTCAGTTTTATTTGTAAGCGCCAATTCATAACAAAAGTTATCTCAGGAAACTTTTCAAATAGAGCAGGTCTAGACCATACTCCTTACGAAATTAATTACAGAGACTCAGCAGTTCCCAGAAAACAAACAAAGACAAACAAAGGCTGTAGATTTCCCTCTCAGGAAATAATTTTGTATTTTTATTATTGTAAGATTGAGCAATCTTGGAAATGTATTTTGTTGATATGTGTGATGTTGTTTGGTATAAACAGATTTTCACTGTATTTTACAGAATTAAAGAGTATATTTCACAATTTTTAACGCTCTGCCTATGCATTCTTTCCCAATACACAGGACCAGCACTCCACTATGGTGGAGTACCACGTACCAGTTGCTCCAGGAGGGGTGGCTGACATCTTCGACCAGCTGGAGTCCAACAAGAATGCTCTGCAGATCAAACACTTCTCTGTGAGCCAGACCACACTGGATGAGGTGAGGAAAAGAGACAAGACTTAAACAGAGAAAGAGGGAGAACTAGTGTGAGGTTTTGTAGGGGTGGGTAGATGGCAGCGAGGGACAGAAGAAAAAGGGACAAGAGATGAGAGAAGAGGAGTGAGGGTGGGAGGGGAAGCAGGGACAGAAGAAAGCTGAGTGGGAGTGAAAGAGTGAGTTGAGAAAGTTTAAAAGAGGCAGAGGGAAACTGACAGAAGGGTACGCCTGAGGGAGAATAAATGGAATATGAGTTAGGGAGAGCTTTATATGCAGCCAGTGCTGATATTCTTCAACCACTCTGCCCTTCTGGGGCTCTGGGATTGGAAGATACCATAGGCAGACTAAAAAGAGGGGGACTGGGGAGGGAAACTGACCAGCAGATTAATTTAAATTAATGGAGTTAAGAGAAAAATAATTGTCTTTTATATTGGCATTTGCCTGGCACTTAAATTATTACTGAACCTTCACAGGTCTTCATTAACTTTGCCATGGGAAAGATTGGTGGGGAAACCATACCAATTCACAGCGAGGATGAAAGTGACGGCCTGGGCTCCATTAAAGCAGTAGATACATAGAGCTGACTGCCATCTTTTCTTTGCCATTTTGTCCACTGTGAAATGAAACACAGTCTCTTCAAGTAAATCTGCCTTTAATCTGCCCTTTATGTAAAAAGTAAGAGTTTAAACCATTTGTGTTTTAGAAATACTGATTATCTCATGAAAATGCCTTGGTTGATCATATGAAGGGTAATTTATGTCTATACTTAATAAATTAAACTATTAATGAAGAGCAGAATAACTCATGCACATTTGCATACATGCACAGAAGTCTTATGTTTATTGACCCTTTTCCTATCTTACAAGTCTTTCTTTAATTCTACTGATCTTATTATTTATGAAGGATGACATTAATTTGTATGCTATTAATTTCTTTCTCTGGTGGGTCTCTGTTTACTATTAGAATATTATACTATAGTCAAAAAAACCAGTTTCCTATTTAGAATCAATTTTATTTCAACTTAATGTTGACAAAAACCTGATTTTATCTCATCTTAAAACACCTATGCACTAAATATACAACATGCCTAAAAAGGAAATTTTAGTTGAAGGTAGATGCTATTGTGGCTACTGGATGAAATGTGACAAAAGAAAATGATCAGAAGAATATCCTTAATAGGCAATTTTCCCTTACTTATTAACACTTCCAATAAGGGCATACTTACAGTAATTTCTAGAATGAATGTACTGAATATTTAATGGACTCTTGCCTGCTCATGGACCTGTGTATCAAGCCTATTTTTTATTATTCTAATAAAGCTATTTTTCAAATGCAACCGCTGTTCATATGCCTATTAGCCTACATGCTTTTATTGTGTTTGAGCGTCGGATAACATTCAAAGATCTTTTATTGTGCTGCTATGGTTGACCTAGACCACTAAAAATCCAGCTGATTTCTTATGACATTATGCCTGATGTTATTCTCTTAAAAGTCATTGAAGAAGAGAACAAAGTCAGGTAATCACACAAACATGTAAGATGAAGAGAGTCAAGGGGATATAGCCATAGGTCACAGCTAAAATAAAATTGATTTTGAAGAAGAAAACATGAACATATTCATTTAGAAGTATTGCTATTGACATAAGCTGCCCAGATGACTCAAACATAATATTTCTTCTGTATATATATGAGTTCAATATTGCATTAGGCCTGGCAGGGGATACATACATTTTGTTTATGCATTTTTGATTCAATCTAATTTAGGCACATAAATGCATATTTATCTATAATATGCCTTGGGTAGTGCATTAAACTATTGTTGACTTATTTATCAGGCCAGCTATTATATAGAAATAAGCTGCAGCAAACATCAGTGTCAATATGAATAATTGTGTCCAGTATATGCCAATTGGCCCCCAAAGAAGTTGAAGAAATGGAGCTTAAGAACTCAAGAGATACTAAAAGAAAATTAAAATAATATTCCGACATCTACAATGTCACAAACTGTATATTTACACATTATGTATATATATCTTATTCAATATTTGGGGGTTGGGCCGGAACTTACGTCATCGCCGTTGTTACGGCAACCATCACAAGTTACTTCCGTAAATCTTTGGCGGGAGATGCAAGAATCCAGGAAGGAAGTTCGGCTTGTTTTGCAGTCTTTGTTCATAAGCAAAGTTATAACAGAAGGACCAGGAAACAAATTACACTTCTTCTAAGAATGGACAACAACAACAAGGACTGGAGGAACACGAAGGAGGCGGTTGCGAACTTTCGACGACTGCTACTTTGCTCCAAATGGTAATATAATGTTATGATGTAACTGTAGAAGTGAGCTAGCTAACGTTAGTTGGAAAGGACTGTCCTTTGTTGTGTAACGTTAACGATAAAATACACTACTACTGCAGCTACAGTCAGCACCATTTAACGTTACACGTCTCTGTGGTAAATTGAGCTGGGTTTATTTTGAATGCTAAAAGACGCTAACAAGCTGACAACAGTCTATAACGCCTGTTTGCAATAGTTGAACAGGATTAGTTACACTGGTTAGAATAGGACCGGCTGATCGATTCAGCTTAACGTTAACAGTAAGCCAACACGACTAACTCAAGTTAGATCAAATTAAATCAGAACAACTTTGCCAGCAAACATAAGCAATGTTGCAGAAGTCGCTGATTATTGTAGAATAAATAGATTGGGACCTTCATCAGTGTCGTTATACGTCCGTCAACCTCTGCTGGGGTGTGCTTGTACCGTGTTCAAGTTCACTCACAACTTATCTCAAATCAAGTCTAGTAGGGCTTTGCTGAAAACTCATTTATATGTGTGCCATAGTAAACATAAACAATTGTGCAACAGTAACACAGGAGCACAGTGCAGACAAGAGCATGACATTATAAAAGACACAACACAATATGGGAAGCAAGATAATACATCATAGATAAATAGAACAATATGGTTTGGGCACAATAAAAACACACAACACATGGCGGTACACACTACACAAAGCAGCTGGGGTAGCCCGAGGATGGACAAGCTGGCATGTTGTGCAAAAGCTTTACAGAAAGGACACTTTAAATCTGATTGTGTTTGTCAACATTTTCCAGGCATGCATACAGGTTTTCTAAAGCTGGGGCGTTTCCAGACTGTTTTTTTGTCCCAAGTGGGGCACTGACTAATGCAGGAGTGGCATGAAGTATGTGTCTCATCTTTCCAGTCATTCACAATTTATGCATTTCCAATACTGTTTACGGACCCCAGTCTGCAGAAATATTCAAATATACTAGGATAAAATATATATATTTTTTTTTTACCACATGCAAAGAAAATGCATTGGATTGGCGGTGGGAATGTCTTAAAAAAAGGAGACTTGTGGGTACCCATAGAACCCATTTTCATTCAGATATCTTGACTTCAGAGGTCAAGGGATCCCTTTAAAAATGACCATGCCAGTTTTTCTTTCCCTTTCTGACATGCTAGCGTGATTGTTTGGTACCAGTGGATGTATTAGGTGATCTAGTTTCATATCTTCACTCTAGCTTTAAAACAGAGCCCAGTACAGCCTCTGAAAGACAGTGCAAGTGAGTAAGGATAATGGGGCACCAATCAGACCCCCCCCTTCACTATGTAGAGAGGGTGAAGAGTCTGTGAGAAGTGTAGTAGGGCTCCTTCGCTGTGCTGGTGGCTGTTGAGATGCAAAATAAATGTTAAATTTAGGGTCTCCACTATCCAGTGCAATTACCCAATCAGACTATAGTACAGCTACTCAGGATGATCTCTATAGGGGGAAGAAAACATTCCCATCAGCATCAGCTTTACTCTGTGTTTAGTCAGAGTTTAACTAATGTTATCATGCCAACATAATAATAATAATCATATTAATAATAATGGATTACATTTATATAGCACTTTATCATTGATCAGATTGAGGGGGATTGGGGTACTCATCTCACCCACCACCAATGTGCAGCCCCCACCTGGGTGATGCACGGCAGCCATTACGAATGCTCATCATACATCAGCGTGAGGTGGAGAGAGGGGGGGAAGCACAGAGCCAGTTACACCAGGGTACGATTAGGTGGCCACATGGAAAGAGTCAGGTTGGGAATTTTGCTAGGACACTAGGAATGCCCTACTCTTTGCAATACCTTGGGAGTTTTAATGACTAGTGAGTCAGGACCTTGGTTTAAATTCTCATCCGAAGGACAGCATCTCATACAGCACAGGTTTAACCCTTAAACCCTTAATTAGGTGAGGAAAAACAGAATTAGTTTCTTAGCATGTGTCAGAAAGTGGCCTGTCTATGGCTAATTTTCAATCATGAAACCTCACTTTTGTGTCTGGAGCGTGAACAGCAGGTTAACAAGTGTTCAGTGAGGTGGAGGTGATCTTTCCTGTTCTGATTGCACTGAACATTTTAAATGTTCTGTTTTTTTCCAGCTCAAATTTAATGAAGGAACCTGTGTGTCTAGGAATGTGCGAGCATATGCTGTGCAGGTAATGTACCCTCAGCTAAATGTCTTTTGTACTGACATGCTCACTAACAATAGACCGGTCACATGGTGGACATTTTTATTTGTCAAACACAGGTGCGACTAATAATGTTAATGGCTCCATTCCACCCAGGTGTTCTACTAGCAGGACTCTGGCATTGTGCTTGTTGGTTCACTAAACGGTGTAAAGTGATAATAATTTAATTGTATTTGTATGTTATGTATGTGTTATGTATTGTTTTATGGCTTTGTTGTGAAGCACTTTGGGTACCTTTCGGCTATTGTAAAGGGCTATACAAATAAACTTGATTTGATTTAATTATTTTTTTCTATTTAACACCTTTCCTGCTACTAAAAATCAGTGCAGTCTTTTTCTTCTAGTCTCAGGTTAGAGGAGAGGCCTAGTTCAGTTGGATTTTGTTATATATATATGTAAAAAAAGATTAATTGCATGATTATATTAGGATTAACATATTAATATCAGTAATAATAATCAATTATTGTTATATAATATATATGACAGCACTATTGTTACAGGTATTTCATTAATGTTAGGGATGTGAAAAATAAAGTAATTTTACAGCTCACTTTTTCATAAATGATGGAACATTTTGTAGTTATATCTATATATATACCGTCATGGGGCTTATTTCTTTGTGCAGATGAAATACTGCATGTCTGTGAAAATTGCATGGTTTCTTGGCAATGCATGGTGTTGAAAGTCTTTAAGTCAATTAACGTCCCTATAGGCATGAACTATAGTCTCAATTTATTCCTTCCCTTCATGACTGAATGGTCTTAAAAGGTATATCAATAAGCTCATTGTATTTCTTCTTACTGAACTGAGAAGTGGACTCCTGATCCAAGATGTGTTTATTGCTTAGGTGCTGTGCTGGCCACCGAGCAGGAGATGGCTGTGTGGTGTGTCACAGTCCTGCATGGGTGAAGGACATCCAAATCAACAGACAGCTCAGCAGCATCATACAGCTCTTCTCTGGTTTGGAGTCCTTGCTCAATCCCACAGAACAGCCAGGTAGGTGGTAACCATCAGCTTAAAAGCATAATTAACAAGTTATCTCCTCAAATCCATGTGTCTTATTCATTATCTCATCTGCCCACACCCCCTTTTATCAATTGTTGGATGAAACATTAAACATTTTTCTCCGCCAATCTAATCTCTGAATGACAGTATTAGTGCCTTGTTCCTGTGGTTTATTATCTTCATCGGGCGATCCAGCATCCTGGTAATGACAGTAATTATGCAACGCAATTAACCACGGTAGTGTTTAGTTTGCGAGTAGATCTCGGCTTTGACAAAGAACGACAGGGCAACTTTCTAAGCCCTGTAGTTAAAATGAGAACAAATCTGCAGGTTGTTATGGTATCGGAATTTACACAGAAATACATATGGGTTTAAGAAGCTGATTGGGTGCTTCTCTCCTTTTCACAAAAGTCAGTATTATTGATTGGCATGCATAATTTAAAAGTTTGGTCTTATTGGGTTTTCATCTGTTCAGGTAGTGTGTTAGAAAGCATTAAAGAGCCTTTTTGACAGCAGTTCACATTGAAAGATTGTAGTACACGCAAGAGGGTAACTTTTTATTTAGTTGAACTTTGAGGTTTTTTTGTTTTGTCATACCTCATTGCAGACTCGTCTCTAGCCAACATTCAAGCACAGCCTGAGAGCCCTGTCCTCAAACACAAGAAAAACTTCAAGATCTGGTTCAGCCCCCGCAGCCGCAAGGTACGCTGCATGGTGGAGAAGCCTTCAGAGGTCACCGTGCCAGAGAACAGGTCTTCTGGAGAAACAGCTGCAGCACAGCTGGACACCGTTGCTA